CTCAATTAGGATCAGATGTCCAGCTCAACCCAGTGCAACGTAAGGCATCGTGCTGGCGTGGCATCATATTGTAAGCTCATGCGACATGCGCACCCTCATACGCATTGCAGTACAGGTGGTGCGGCATTTGCGGTGCAAGCTGCACGGTGCATCCTACATGATGTCATCTATGCGGGGCATCATTCGCAACACAACCACTCCAAAACATACACCAATGCGATGCAATGAACAAGTGGCAGAGCAGTGTGTATGAACGTATCAGCTGGCACAATCCACAGGCGCAAACATGGGCGCACCACATGGCATCATTATGCGCGACGTGGCGGGAACCCAAGGGCGCAGCATATGGCCGCATCAAAATCTACGCGGCGTGGCCAAAACACATGGCACATCCCATGGGCGCAGCTTACGACCGCGCAGGAAATTCTGCGCCACGTGGCCACCTCTCTCCATCCATCGCCTAGTTCTCATCCTCTACTCTTCCTTTTCATCCTAGCCCTCCTTTTCTCCTGCTGCCTCAGCCCCCCTCCCCTCCCCATTCTCTCCTCGTTATTATCCTCATCCTCGTTGTACCCATCGTCTTCCTCTTGCTCCTGCTTCCCCTTCTTGCTGCTATTACTCCCCCCTCCCCCCACCTCCACCCCCCGTCCGCACGCAGGTGTCTCTACCACCACGGGGACACCATGCTCGGTTTCTTCGTGGTGCTGTCTGGGCGCCTCGTTGTCCTGGAGGAAGAAGAGGGGCTGCCCCCAGGAGAGCCCCGGCACGAGGAAGATGATGATGCTGATGGTGTTGTTGATGATGAGGAGGATGAGGAGGAGTTGCTTTCAACAGGCGAAGAAGGAGTGCGACGATACGGGTGTTGATTGCGATGGGATGGAATGCGCTTGATGACGACAATGATGATGATGATGATGATGATGATGATGATGATGATGATGATGATGATGATGATGATGATGATGATGATGATGATTATGATGATGATGATGATGATGATGATGCTGATGATGATGATGATGATGATGATGATGGTGGTGGTGGTGGTGGTGGTAGGGATGATGATGATGAAGCTGATGACGCTGATGATGATGACAACGATGATCGTGATCATGACGATGACAATCACGATGACGATGATGAGAATGAGGATGCGGATGAGAATGAGGATGAGGAGGAGGAGGATGAGGATGATGAGATTGAGGATGAGGATGATGATGCTGATGCTGATGATGAGGAGGATGAGGATGATGGTCATGATGGTCTGCTGATGCTGATGATGGTGGTGATGATGGTGATGATGATGGTGATGATGATGACGACGATGCTGATGCTGGTTATGATTATAATGATGGTGATGCTGATGATGATGCTGATGATGATGCTGATGATGAGTAGGATGATGCTGATAATACTGATAATTATAATGATGGTGATGGTGATGGTAGTGGTGGTGATGCTGCTGCTGCTGATGATGATGATGATGGTGGTGGTGGTGATGATGATGGTGGTGATGGTGAGGAGGAGGAGGGTGGCCACACGATGACATGCAGGAAGAGACACAGGGGGAAGGGGAAGGCCGCCAGGAGTGCTCACCGCTTCTCCCCTTTTTCCCTTGACGGTCGGTCGCTCAAGGCCTGCCTTGCAATGCCACGCCCTCCTCTTCCTCATCACTATCGACCATTTGTAATAATCAGGCCCTTCCTGGACCAAGCCCCAGCGCAAGATGCATCTCTCGCGCCACGTACCGCTTCCGCCGCCACATGGGAAAGACCCCAGAGGCGGGCGGCGCCTCCGATTCGCACGCTCCAGCGCACAAGCGCACAAGCGAGGAGCAAAACCATCTAATCTTGCACTGGGGACCTCACCAGCACGGATGAGGTCGGCCGTCCTGAAAGGTTGCACTAACGGGTACCAGACCTTCTTGACTTGAAAGCGCGATGGAGCTTGCGCAAGATTGACCAGGACCCGCGCTCCCCATGAGGCAGTAGGTGGCGGTCATGTGCAGGATGCGCTGAGACGGGCCGAGACTTTCACCCCCCCATCCCACACACCGCGCACACCACACACCACACCCCACTCCCCAATTGGAAAGGACGGATGACATGCTGCACGCCTCCAGCCTGCGCGTCACGAGCGACAGCGAGATCGGCCCTCTCGAGCGATCGCTGTATGGCAGTGGGCGGAGGGGGTAGCACTTGCAACACAGGAGCGTGAGATTTCGCACTGCGCTGCTTAGAAGAGGCATGGACACAGTCATAATCAGTGAGGACAGGGCCGATCTGGGCCACCCATGTGGCCATCTTCAACAATACACGCTCCTTGGCAATCCTGGCCCGGCGGAGCTCGTGAGGGATGCGAGCACGCTGAGCCATCCACTGGGCCCAGTCGTCGGCCTCATCGTTACCAGCCGTTTCCAAATCAGACAAAAACAAGCCTTGTCTGCACTCTGCTTTGGCTGCAAGGTCTTTGACCTTGCGCACAACAACATTGTCACTTCCTCCCCAGTCATCGATCTTCTCCCAGACCTGGCACCCGAGCTCGGCCCAGATGGAACGAGAGGGGCAACACCATCGCTTGCCGCGACGATGCAGCCAGTCGAAGACAAAATAGGAACATGAGTAGAACATGGAACCAGGCACAGCATGCTGCAGCCCGCGCGAAAAAGCGAACAACTCAGCCTTGTCAACGTCAGCACAAACGTCGTCCAGACATCCGACGAGCACCGACAAGACACGGAAAGGACAGCTAGGCTGAATGGTAAGGACCGCCCACGCAACGGCCTGCACATGAGCGGGAAGGTGTTGGTCGTACCAGCTACCGTCCAAGAAAATGTGTCCTGAGAGTGCTTTGGGTCCTCCTCCGAACCACTGCTCGGGGATAGCAACGGAAGGAGGGATAATCATGCTCCTCCTCCTCCTCCTCCTCATCCTTCCCCTCCTCCTCCGCATCCCGCTTCTTGTTTTCCTCCTCGCACTCCGCCCCTCAGGCCCATGACTCCCCCCCCAGGTCCTGAGCCGCCCCAGCCCTGGGAGAGAGAGGACTGCGCAGCACGGGGGCTCCTCGCGGGGAGAAGAACGGACAGATCCTGCTGCCCCTGTTCTCTTCATCCTCCCTCCCCTCCCCCTCCCCCGTGCCCCTCCGTCCGCGCCGCCTCTCCACCCCTCTCCCCTCCCTGGACGGGGGAGCAGAGTCCGAGCAGGCTCAGGCGTAGGCTCCCTCCCCTCACAAATGCAGAGAGACGCACAGCAAAGCCGCATAGTAAGGATGGGCAACTTTCCACAGCTACCCCTGCATCCGTGCCCCTTCTTCTTCCCATCCTTGGCGGCAACTTTCGCAGGCCAGCCCCGCTCGGAAACGCCTGTATGGCCCTCCAAGGCCCTTGCACCCTTACCGCGCATCCCGCTTATGAGACTTGACTGTGCTCCCAGGTCCCTGGCCATGTGGCCGTGTTCACGCCACCCTCGGGGCCCCCGCCCCCCGGCGCCGCCGAGGAGATGCCGGCCGGTGGCGCGTGAGCAACATCATCCAGGCCCCCGCTCGGGAGCGGGCTCCGCCGGCGCAGGTCCTTGTCTGTGGTGGGCTCTGGAAGGATGCCCAGCCCGCTGCGCTTCGTCGATGGGGTGATGATGATGATGATGATGATGATGATGATGCTGATGCTGATGCTGATGCTGATGCTGATGATGATGATGATGATGATGATGATGATGATGATGATGATGATGATGATGGTGCTGATGCTGATAATTACAGGTGATGATGCTGATGCTGGTGCTGATGATGATGCTGATGCTGATGCTGAGCCGCTGATGATGATGGAGATGATGATGATGATGATGATGATGATGATGATGATTATGATGATGATGATGGTAATGATGATGATGATACTGATACATATGATGATGATGATGATGATGATGATGATGATGATGATGATGATGATGATGATGATGATGATGATGATGATGATGATGCTGATGTGCTGGCTGCTGATGCTGATGCTGATGCTGCTGATGCTGTGCTGCTGCTGATGATGATGATGATGATGATGATGATGATGATAGTGGCGATGATAATGATAATGATGCTGATGCTGCTGCTGATGATGATGAGGAGGAGGAGGAGGAGGAGGAGGAGGGAGGAGGAGGAGGAGGCGGTGGAGAAGGAGGAGGACGAGGAGGAGCTGGGGGAGGAGGAGGAGTAGGAAACGGATGAGGAGGAGGAGGAGGATGAGGAGGAGGAGGAGGAGGAGGAAGGGGACGTGGACTACGAGCGCGCTCTGAGACGAATCGCCCCGCAGCCCAGCAGCGCTCCGCCTTTTTTATGTTCCTCCCTGTTTGTGCGTGGCCCACATCTAGTATCGACTTTCGTTTTTGTTATGGCCAGGCCGATGTAGTGCATTGCGAGACGCATTCGGACAGCGCACAGGGTAGCCAGGAAATGAATCATATTCCTCCTCAACCTCATCCTCCTCCGTTCTCTGCTTCCTCATCCCACATCCTCCTCCTCCTCCTTCTTCTCCTCCTCCTCCTCGTCCTCCTCCTCCTCCTCCTGATGCACATGGCGATCGTGCTGCCATGGTGCGGGCCAGTGCCCTGTGCGACCCAACCTCGATGAAGCGCACGACCAGCCCGAGCCCTCAGCAAGCATACCGTCAAGCTCTCACCAGCCATTTCTTCCCCGACGAGTTCGAGATCACGATCCGCAAGAGACAGCTGGATGGGTGACGAGTTTCTTGTTCCTCCTGACCTTCGCCGTCGTTGCCAAATAGCGCGAGGGGTGTTCCTGGCCATGCCACCATCTCGTGTTTGGCCTGAGCTGAAGACGTACGCTGGTGGGTGGTCCACGTCTTTTCTCATGCACGTGGTGCCCGAGCAGAAGCCCTGCCGCTTCAACTGCATCAACGGGGACAACTCCATCCTGCACTACATGCGGTGCCGCGCCCTCTGGCATCTTGTTGCGCTTCCGTGTGGGCAGCCTCATGATGACCCACTGGTACGCGTCTGTCTGGGCGCCGCACATCAGCAGCGAGGCGAGAACCTCACGGCTGGACATCCTGACGCGCGTGTCCGTGATGTCCAGGCTCTGCCACCACATCAAGAACACCAGCCACGACACCTACGTTGCCCACGTCACCGCTCTTCGAGCGATTCGCGGTGCCCTGAGGCTGCGTCCCAGTCTCTCAAGGCGACATTCGCTCCTCCTCCCGATGCTCACCAGCTGTACAGTGTGTTTCGTCACCAGTCAGGGTCGGGCCTAGAGCACGTGCTGCGCTGTCTTCAAATAGCAGGTGAGCGTCTGTCGTCGGTCTTCAGCTTGGGACGCTGTCCAGTGGGCGACGCTCGCTCGCTCGTCCCCGGCCTCCTCCTGGTGCTACTCCTCCTCCATCTCCACCCCCTCCTGCTCCTGCTTCTCATCCTCCTCCTCCCCCTCCTCCTCCTCCTCCTCCTCCTCCACCTCCTCCTCCTCCTTCTCCTCCTCCTCCTCCTCCCTCTCCTCCTCCTCCTCCTCCTCCTCCTCCTCCTCCTCGTCCTCGTCCTCCTCCTCCTCCTCCTCCTCCTTGGTCTCCTCGTTCCCCTGCCCTGGAGGGCGGCCCCCAGTCAAAATGTGGCTCTCGCCAAGGCGCCGCACACTTTCGTTTGACACATCACAATCGTTCCAGGGATTCTTGTGACTGACGCCCCAGACATGGCATTCTGGCACGATTCAGGACTGTCAGGGCGCAGTAGTCGTGTTGATCTGCTGTGTTGAAGTCCCAGGAGTGGTGTTCTGACAAGGCTCAGGATCGTCAGGACGCACCAGTAGAGTTGATTCGCGGCGTTGAAGTGCAGGGAATAATGGTGTTTTGGCACGGTTGGGGGTTTTCGCACGGTTGTCTTCCAACGGGGCTTTGTCCGCAACGGAGTTAAAATTTTGTAGGGACCTGTGAAGAGGGAATTCTGAGGGAGGGTTGATTGCAACATCGTTGATGGGTCTTGGGATTACACTGGTCCTCCTCCTCTTCGGTCTCCTCCTCGTCCCCCTGCCTTGCCTCGTCCTCCTCGGCTTCCTCCTCATCGTCCTCCTCGGCCTCCTCCTCGCCCTCCTCGGCTAGGCCTCCTCCTCGTCCTCCTCCCCCTGCCCAGCCCCGCTGTCCCCAAACGACCGGGGCCCGTCGCCGCGCCAGCGCGGACGCATCTGCGGCGAGCTCGACTGTTTGCACGACACGCCCTACTCGCAGACGGTGTGGGCGTCGCGCGACACCGAGGCTCGCCCTCGGCTCTCCTGGTGGCCTTCTCGGGGCCTCCGGGGAGGCATCTTCCACAACGTTTTGGCGCCTGGATCAAGAAAGGAAATGCAGAAATGAAGAACTGAAGCATCAATGGCAACACAAAACTATTGTTGGCTTTTGTGTGAGTTTGAGTCCCCCGGGGGGCCGTTTACCCGTACCCGTGGGCCCGCAACAAACCAGCCCATGAAAGGGCATCCGTGCGAATTTCGGGGTCGAGAGGAGGTCGGGGTCAAAAGCTCCAGAGCCCCACGTGCTGCAAGCAGGCAAGGCTCGCGATCGGATGTCTGGTTTGGCGCATATCCCGGGACCTGTGAGCCCTCTTTCGTCGTCTTGGAGCTGTCTGGTGGGGTCTTGGTAGTTCCCGCGCCCCAGGCGCCAGGGCCCTGTTGATCCCGCCTCCTCCCAACCTTCATCTCTTACTCCCCATCATTCGCCTCCTCTGTCCTCTTCCTCATCCCCCTCCTTGTGCTAGTCGTGCCTCGTTTTCTTCATCCACCATCCCTGTTTCTCCTCGTCCCCGTGCTTCCGGTTGCCAGGCGCCACGGCCCTCCTCTTCCGCATGTTCCTCACCCTCCTTCCTTCGGAAAGGGGATGCTGTTTTGCCGCTGCGCTGCTCTGCCACGACCCTTCGCAGCCCTGTCGGCCTCTTGGGCCGAGCAGCCGTCGAGCACGACACTGAATCGGAAACGCTGGCAGCAGTGCAGACACCAGCACGCCGACACGTCAAGGTACACGGCCCCGCGGCACGAGACCGAGAGACTGGTGCCGAATGCCGACTTCGGCGCAACGACGGATCACGTTCTTGGCCTCAGCGTCCAGCCAAACCGTAATTATTTCACTTTGGGGGCCTTTCCCGACTGCTCAGGGCCCCTTTTCGGAAGGGGAGGAGGGCGAGGAGCAGCAGGAGGGAGGGTGCAGAGGGGGAGCCGGAGGGAGGGGAAATGCTTCCCAACCGAGGAGCATGAAGAGGGAAGATCAGGAGGAGCTGCAAAGCCCCCCCCCCCCCCTCCCCGATCCCCCCCTCCTGAAAACGATCGCTCCAGTCGGGAGATCGACCGGCTGCGGAGGCGGTCGGCCGTCGTCGGCCGTGAGCTGCCTCTGGTGCTGGCACGAGCGCACGAGCGTCCCCCTGCCGTCACGCTCAGCTCCGCAGCCGTCCTTCGTGGCACCCGCAGTTTGCCAGTCAGGGCGTTCCATAGAGCCCCACGTCGCCGAGGCATCGTAGACGACGGTCGACCGGTCGGCCTCTTTCGGCGTCGGCGGAAGCTGGCGGAGGGACCGCGAAGCCTCGACGGCTCAAAGGATCCGTTTGCCTCCGAAGGGGAGGGGGGTCGCAAGTCCCCCCCTGGCTGCGACCCGCGCGAGTGCCCTGCCAGACCCGCCATGAGCGATGCCTGTGGCGCGGCGGGGCGCTGCTAGTTGCTTCGACGCCAGCGAGGTGAGCGTTCGGAGGCTGCCCGACCTCCGAGGACAGCGTGCAGGAGTCTCACGACGACCAGAGCAGGCTGGAACCAGGGCCTATGGGTGGCAAACGGGCCTGGAGACGTGCGATGAGGCTCGCGGTGGTGACAGGCAGCAGTTGGTACCGAGGCCAGTTGCTGACGCGCCCCATGGTTGCCTACTATTCTAAGCAAGACGTGACGTCCTTCCAGAGGGTCACCGACGTTTCCTCGAGCTCGCCGCGACCCCCCAGACCACGACGACCGCGACCTACCCACCTCATGAAAGTCTGGAGCTACAACACAGAATCACTTATATACATAGACCGCCTGGGAGAACTATTACGACACGCCCGTGAACAACAAATCGCTATCGTTTGCTTTCAGAGTACTCTCATGGGAGCTACCACATCTTGGACCAGCGCGGGCTTTCGTGTCTACCCAACCCCGAGAACCTCCTCCCGAGCGAAGGACGGCTGCTTGACGGCGCTCAACTTGCACTTCTTTGACCCGCTGGAGGTCCGCTGCGTCCATGAATGGATCCCAGGCCGACTTTTGGGACTCCGCGTTCGACGAACAGGTGCCCGTGAGAGAGACCTCTACATTCTGAACGGCTACGCGCCGACCAACACGGCGAACCATCACGTGGCGGCCGCCGACCGAGCCCGAGTGCAAGCTGAGCATAGACAAGCGCAGGACGGGTTCTGGCAGGCTTGCGACGACACCATCCGACGAGTGCCACAGAGACCTTCCTTGATTTGGTGTCTCGATGCTAATGGTACGGTGGCGCCAGACCTTCCTAACGTCGGCCATGCAGGAGTCGATCGCCAACCGAGAACCACGAACACGAACGGCAGCCACTTTCTTTCTATTCTTCAGAACAACGGTTTGACAGCTTTGAATACTCATGGCAGCCGCAAGAAGAATGCAGGGACCTGGCTTCACACTGACGGCAATACTTGGAACCAGATAGACTACATCTGCACAAGACTGCAAGGAGGCTACGGACATGGAGCTCGCGTCCTGCACTCTTTGCCTGTCAGCATGGGCGGATTTCGTGACCACCGCCCTCTCGAAGCCACGATCTCTGCCCGATTTCGATGTCAGCGGCTCCGCCAGGACTCACCTGTTCGATGGAACCGAGAACTTCTGCTTCATGATCTCAAACTTCTCCAACACTCTGATGAGGTACCAGCCCGTGTACAAGACTTTCGCAGCAGACTTTGCCACGAGCTTCGAGTTCGTGCCATTTCTGGACACTGGCAGCAAGAGTGTGGTACCCACCAACGATACACCACGACATCTAGCTACTACAACTCCGTGGAAGGAGCAGTCGTGGACGCAGCCTACCCTCTTTATGTTAATTCACCGAAGGCGACTCCTCAGAAGAACCTCACTGACGCGACTTTGGCTTTGGTCCGACACAAGCAGTACTTTCAGAGAATGTTGCCCAATGTCATTGATCATAGCTCGTGGCTCTACAAATCCATTTTGTCGCAATTCCGATGGGCGGCCAAGCGAGCAAAGCAAGCAGTGCGTGCGGAGAGGCGGCAACACATTGCGGCCCTGGTGGCCGATGCAGAGCGTGCCGATGCCGTTCATGACATCCGACGTTGCTACTCGATAGTCAAGCGCCTTGCGCCCAAGCCCCGCATGCCCATGCTGACCGTCCGCAACCCAGCCACAGGCTACCCGTGCTTCGACGATGTCGAGGACCAGCAGGTCCGCACCGATGCCCTCTGCGCCATCTTTGAGGCCACGGAGTTGCCCATGCATGAGGATGGAGGCCCCCAGGACATCCCCGAAGAACCCGACGTGGAGCTCGTAGGCCAGTACGAAGTTGAGGACATCACCAAGGCCCTCAACAGGCTCCCCAACTTCAAGAGCGCCCCCGTGCTGAAGTGGACGGACCCCTCGAACTCGAATGGGCCTCGACCAGATCCCGAAGGTGCCGTAGCTGAACTTTGGAAGCTTGGAGGTGATCTTGTAGGGGGCCCTCTTCTTGGAGTCTTTAGGGCCGCTCAAGCCTTCCGACGTGTTCCACAACGGTTTAAAAATGGGGAGACGGTTTCATTACGCAAACCTAAAGGGGACGGGAGGAATGCCAAAGATCACTACAGGACGATCAACCTTATTGGCCACATCGGAAAGGCTTTCGCTAATGTGGTCATCATGCCCGAGCTGCGGGCAATGTCTGGCCGGCTCTCCGCTACTCAGTTTGGGGCCCTTCAAGGTCGATCGACTCGAGACGCCATCGCCCTGGTTGACGAGATCGGCCGTCGCTTTCGTGAGAACCCTTATCGCACTAAGACCGACTATCGCATCCTGATTGCCGCATTGATCGACCTTGAGAAGGCTTTCGACCTCCTGACTCGAAGTCAAGTTTGGGAGGCACTAGATCAGCTGGCGCTCTCCCGTGGTACCCGCTTAGTCACTGAGGAGCTCTACAATGGGACCTGCTATATCCTCAGAGATGCCCGCACTAACAAACCTTGTAGGCAACTACTTATTCGAAAAGGGGTGAGACAAGGTAGTGTAGAGGGGCCAGGGCTGTTCATCGCCATCTATGATCTCATCACCAAAGACATTGGGTCCAAGGCGTTGGAGGAGGGTTTCCAGGGCATCCAGGTGCAGTACGACCCCCAGTTCCAGGCCTTCAGGAATTCGGTCGGTTTCTCCGCTATCGAGTTGCGGATGCTAGATGCGTCCCAGGTGAAGTTCGTAGATGACCTAATCGCGTTGACCGTGGTCGACGACTTAGCGACGGTCTCCGAGTTCCTAGAGTTTCTGCGGATCCACGTTAATGCCAGCGGCTTAACCATGAATGTCCCGAAAACCGAGCTGATGGTGAGCGTGGTGGGGAAGGGGTGCAGACGGGTACGGAAGAAAATCAGTGCTAAGCAGACTGGCATTAGCTTGACCCATGCCGACGGCCAGGCTCGCGCGATCCACCCGACGCCGACTGTAAAGTACCTTGGCTGTTTGCTCTCGGCGACGGGGTCGTCCTCGGCTGAGATCAAGGCTCGCCTGACCTCCGCCAACCAGGCCCACGGCCGGCTGTCCCAGAAGGTCCTGAAAGGGAACCTCAGCCTGCGTCTCAAGATACGTTTGTGGAATTCGCTAGTACGGTCTATCGCCCTATACGCACTAGAAGTTGCCTTTCTCACGAAGACGGATTTGAAGAAACTCGAACGTTGGCAAACCAAGAAACTTCGACATATACTTCGCTCCCCCGCTCATCTTCACCATGTCTCCAATGCCGATATCCGACGTCGTGCCAAAGTCTATAGTATGAGCTCTACCTTACTGTATCGTAGGCTGCAGTGGTGGCGACACGTGATTGCCCCTGGGCTCCAAGCAGAAAGACCCGAGTATGACCCCACCGAGGCTGTACGGGCGGTAATCTTCGGCCGACTCTCGTTCGAGGACCCTCACAGTCGAAATCACAATTGTCGATTGGGGCAACTTCTCGCAGATCTTCGTGCGTTGTGGGCTTGTCTTCCCGAGGAGAGCCAGATGCGCGCTCCGAACGATTCGCCGACTGTCTCACGAGACTGGCTGGAGTGGCTAGACATGCTCTCACACGCAGAGCTCAAGGCCGTCCTCTCACACGAAGCTGAGAGTGACCGACTCAGAGAAGCTGGCGACATTGATGAAGAGCATCGCCTCGTTTGCCCCGACTGCGGAAAAATATGTCAGGGCCAGAAAGGGTTGGAGAATCACAGGTTCGCGGTTCATGACATCGTTGCCAATAGGTTGGATATCCCCATGGCTGATCTGAATGCTAAGAGATGCCCCTTCTGCAGTGCCTCTTTTTCTCGCAAAGATGTCCTTCTTCGTCATGTTCAACACCGTTGCCCGCAGCGCGTTGGCTCTCAGCGCGCTCCAGTGCCACCTGCAGGGCCACCGCTTCCGCCCTCAGCGCCTCCTCCCAATGTTCGAGCCCGCGGCGGACATCATCAAGAAGAGGGACGCGGCCAAGGCCGAGGTCAGCGAGGGCGGAGTCGAACCCGAGGACGCGGGGCCATCGGGCATCTCCAAGAAGGACAGGCTCATGACGAAGTTGCTGCTCCGCCACGAAGACAACTTCAGGGGCTCGGCGCGCGACCAGAACGTGGTGGTGAAGCTGAAGACGGGCTCCCAGATGCAGCTGGCGCTCGCGGCGGGCATCCAGAACTACCTGAAGGTCGGCAAGGAGGCGCGCGCTGCGGTCGAGCCAAGCGAGTATCGCGGCCACCCGCTAGGGAAGAAGCCCGACGCCTACCTCCGCATGCTGCTATTCCGCCTGAGCGAAGCGGTCGAGGGCAAGCTGGAGGACGTTCGCGCAGCAGTGGCCCAAGGGCCGCAGCCAGTCGAGTCGAAAGAGGCGCTGAGACTGGTGGTCAACCTCGGCAAGAGCTTGAACAACAAGGAGGTGCGGCTCAAGGCGACCCGCTGCTTCGACGTTCAGACGAAGACCGACGTCGATGGCAAGACGGTGGAGGAAACCAAGTGGATATTCGCCGCTATGGCGCACCCGCCTCTCATGCAAGCCATGTACTGCCTGAAAGAGAACGGCGGCCTGCAGTCAGTGAACATAGTGCTCGAGGACGATACGGCCCCCAGGAGCAAGGATGCGAAGGAGCTAGAGAAGCTAGTGTTCAAGGGCGGCGGCGGAGGCGGCAAGAAACACCCCAAGCGCCCCAAGCAGAAGTGAACGCCCCTGCTGCAGCCACCTGTGAGCTCCGTGGGTTAGATCGGTTTTTTAGATCTGGAACGGTCCCAAGAGACCGAGGAAGCTAGGTACCTTTTGGGTCGAGGGCTCGCGGCGGGACTAGAGGGTCCTGCTGCGACCGCTCTCGAAGTGCCATCCCCTTAGAGGAGGGGGTGCTCGGGGGTGGGACCCTGTGGGCGGGAGGCCAGCGCTTCACGTCACCCCAGCCTCTGCGCTCCCTTCAGGCCCCAGCTAATTCGTCTCGACAGAATTATGCTGCGCCGAGAGATCGGTAGTTTTTTGATAGGGCCCGCCGCAAGACATCCATAAGGACTCTTAGAGGGTGTAGCGTTGGAAAAAAGGAGGGACCGCGGTTTCCGGCGAACCTAAAGCGATCGTTGCTCGCCAGCTCAAAGTTGGGGGAAGACCGGAAGTAACGCCGGTTGATTCCCAAGAGGTCGATCGGGCACTGTCGTGTACAGCCGACGCTGCCCAATGGTCCCGCGGCACGGGCATTCAGGCGACTCAGACTAACCTCTCCTGTATGTCAGCCTGTCTGAGTCGCTCTCCAAAAAGTGTGGTGGAAGGTCCTCTTGCTGAGGGTCTGCAGAGGTTGATGTCAAAAACGATATGGGCGTACCCGAGGGATTCCAGGGGGAGTTTGGCCCCCAGCCCAGGGGACGCCATAAGCCGTCAGCGCTCCGCACGTGAGGCTTGGACAGCCAAGGGGCCCATCCGTGAACTTATGGGCGCAGCCCAGAGTTGGATCCTAGCTGCGCGTACCACTGGAGAGTTGGCCTACACAATATGCATTTCTAATTCTTCAAAAATTATTTGTTTTGTTTTGGGGCAAAGATCCTTTTTATTTCTAATGTTCTATCCTGGGCCTCTTCCTGGCCACTAGGGGGCCAGGAACAATTAGAAACGAGCACAATTAGAAATGAGCACGACTAAGAATGACCAACGCGTACCACTTGAAAGTTGGCCTAGGCAGTTGCCGTCCGTTCACAGCTTGTAGAAATCACACTGGGCAGACACAGGGTCGTGCAGGGACGGCCAGCAGTGAAGGGCATGGCGGTGCAGCAGACAAGGACTTGTCGCCGGCTTGGCTTACATATGGATAGCGGGCAAATTAAGTGGCGGGCTTACGCACGCTTTGAACTACACCCCTGTTCTCGTCACTGTGCGGCATCCTAAGTTTGGTAATAACTTGACCCAGCTTTGGCGGGGTCGACGGCCGGGTGACTGCGCAGGGTTGTTTTTTATTGGGCTTGGTCTGGGGATCTAGTTTGAAGTTCGGTATCCAGTGGTCGTGGTCGAAACTCCATAGATCGCATGACTCACAGTGTGCACTGGGACTCTGGACATGCCCTCGCAACAGTGGGGCATACGGAAGTGTAGACGGGATTTCCCGCAGCGTCCCAGAATATATGTCTGAGGCACGAGGAGACTGGACAACTACGCAAGAGTCATCTCGCGACGACCAAGCAGTCCCGAGGTGCATTCGCAGAATTCAACTGTGTACCACATTCGTAGTCTTGTTGTTGGGAGGGATTGTGCTTATTCTCGGCGCGCTCAACATTTAATTCATGACGAACAGGATGCTTGATCCGGAAGACCAGATACGAACGGTTAGCGTGTAGCAGACGCAGGCGTAAGCGGTGGATTTGGGGCCTCTCTTCGGAGGGATCCATCCAAATTGGAGGCGGCTTCGCGTCACACGGGGCAACTTAGCTGCACGATTCCATTATAAAGGAGTTTCGGAAGTATGGGACATTGGTATTGGAGATTGCCAATGCACCCACTAATCTAATCCTTTCCCTTTCCCCCGTCCCTTATTTCCCTCCCGTACCTGCCCCTTGCCCTTCTCCTCCCTCCCCCTGCCCCTCCACTCTCCATTGCCGCCTACCTCCTTTTCATCCTCCCAGACCGTAGCCACCCTCGGCATGCGAAGGTGTGCCGGGTATCGCCCACTCTGCTGCACCTCATCGCCATAGATTTCCCGAAGGCGCATGGTTTCTGTCTTTCTCGCGCGCGCGTTCTCTCGCTCTCTCGTTCTCTCTCTCTCTCTCTCTCTCTCTTCCTCTCTCTCTCTCTCTCTATTTCTCTCTCCCTTTTTCCCTACCTAGGCTCTGCCTAGAAGGGTTCTTACTCTCTTAGCTTAAAGGGGCCGGGCAGTGGAAAGCGCCCCGGGCGGTTCCCCCAGTCCCCGCCCCGCGGTTCCCCCAGTCTCCTGGGAGCTTTAGCTTTAGCTTTAGCTTTAGCTTTAGCTTAGCTTTAGCTTAGCTTTAGCTTAGCTGTAGCTTAGCTTTAGCTTAGCGTTTCGCTTAGCTTATCGCTTAGCGTTTAGCTTAGCTTTAGCTTAGCTTTAGCTTAGCTTTAGCTTAGCTTTAGCTTAGCTTAGCTAGCTTAGCTTTAGCTTAGCTTTAGCTTAGCTTTAGCTTAGCTTTAGCTTAGCTTTAGCTTAGCTTTAGCTTAGCTTTAGCTTAGCTGTTAGCTTTAGCTTAGATTTAGCTTAGCTTTAGCTTAGCTTTAGCTTAGCTTTAGCTTAGCTTTAGCTTAGCTTTAGCTTAGCTTTAGCTTAGCTTTAGCTTAGCTTTAGCTTAGCTTTAGCTTAGCTTCAGCTTAGCTTTAGCTTAGCTTTAGCTCAGCTTTAGCTTAGCGTTAGCTTAGCTTTAGCTTAGCGTTACTGTTGCTACTAATGCTGGTTTCCTAGGGGTCCCAACTCATAGGTAGGATCGCACTGGGATATGTTGTGTTCTCTCTCTCTCGTTTTACACATATAACACACTCTCTCGATCTCTCTCAATCTCTGCGTCGCTTTTCGCATGCACGCGCTAGCACATATAACACATGTGTTTGCAGTTCTCTCTCCCTCGTTCTCTCTCTGTCTGTCTTCATATCTCTCTATATCATATGTATTTATGTTTATATCAGCATGTCTGACGTCATGTTGTTTGCAGCCTGTACTCTGTGAGTGGGGATTCATGCCACTGCGAACCGCTCACTGGCATCTTTCGATGTGGCATGGATGAACTATGCTGCTTTGCATGAAGTTCGTGCACGCTGACAGCTTCCGATGCATATCATCCGGCCCCGTTTCTGCCATCCAGATTTCCATCGCGCTCCTACGCGCGACGGAAATATCGGGCTGCTGCCAGAGACAGGCGTTCCAGGCTCGTTTCATATACTTGCGTTCCCATTTGAGAAGATTTACGTTCGTCGAATTCTTCACCAGTTTTCCCGTTCAGGCGCATCCCAGTCATCACTTGTTGTGCACCATGTGATTGTGTTACACAGCTGGCATCTCCAACGCGTGGCCATCGACTCACTGCTCTCACTGTGACGTTGTCATGTGGTTGTCGGTGCAATTTTCAAACTCAAGGGCGGCCGGCTCTAGTTTAAACAAACGGTCGGAGATGAGGGCACGTTGCGGTTGATCGCTGGCGAAAGACGAGGTTCACGTGAAAGTAGAGGCGTCGATTCCAAGGATGAAAACAGACCCTCCGCCGACTCAAACACAGTGCAGCCAGGCTCAAGCTCAAGCTGTCTTGTCCATGTTCACGAAGACATGTCACATCTCAATTGTGTGTTTATTGGCTACCTTTTACGTTGCCAGAGCCACGTCGCAATTGATGGGCGGTGATGGGGGTATCAATTGGACCACCGCGAATGTGCATCCCTAGGTTTTTCAATTTTGCGCAAGCTACTGGTGCATGTCGTTCTTTCTTCGATTTCGCATTAAAGATCGGGTGTGAGAAAGCTCCTGGGCACAGAGGAATCTGGAATATATGCGACTCGTGACGCCCCTGCATCCTCCCCCGTGTGAAATCGAAAGTACTGAAGCGTCCGTTCCGTTGACTTGTTCCAGCAGTTTTCCCATCAGAAATGAGTCGGAATAGAGCCTCCAAGGCTTGATTAGGTCAAGGACAAAGTTGTTTTAGACATTCGAATCTACGGTCAAGGACAAAGTTGTTTTAGACATTCGAATCTACTGGCGTTCACTTGTCTAAGAAAGCCAGCAACACGGGAACATCATCTTCCCAGTCTAATGTACCGACCAGTTGTTGATTGCATCGTAGATCAGCAAAGTTTGGAATGGGAAGCGTACGATTTCTTCGTCACGAGCGCATGGTGGCTTTGATCGGCCAGGAGTCGAGTTCCAGCTGTCACAGACACACGAAGTCAATCCGAGAGGCGGAACGCGAGTGCGTAGATCATGCATAGCCGTGCGTGAGTAGCAGCGCGCACACACCAGGACAAGAGTACCAAGATAGCTTGGAGTGCGGCAGGGGTGTTGGCATGATAGGTGTGTCAGACTATCGAGTGGCATGCACCGTTTTTTTGTTTCAGTGCGTGTACGCATGCAAGTACTCATGCACGTCGCATATAAAGAGTGCGCATGCATATTCAGAATGTGTTCATCTCCACTTACTGTATAATTCTACGTTCGCGTGCACACAAGCGACTATGCTACACCCATCGTCTCTGCCCGTTGGAGCACTGAGTGTTGGTAGTGTCACTTCGGCTGTTAGCTGGTCGATTGTATTTGGACGCTGTCTTTCGAAGGCATGCCGCGGTGGTTCATAGATGCATGTCGCCGTAATTCATCACGGCCCCATGCCGTCTCTCCGTTGTGAAATGATAGTGTCCAGCACGATGGAGTCCCACACGATAGACTTCCACACCATAAAGTTCCACACGAAGGTTCCACGTGGCAGGGTCCCGCACAACAGGGTCACACGCGATAGGGTCCCACTCGATAGGGACTCACACGGCATGGTACCACACGATAGGCCCCCACACGATAGGGTTCCCCACCCAATTGTGTCTCACATGGTAGAGTCCCGTGCGAAAGTGTCTCACACGATGGGGTCTCAAACAATAGCGTCCCACACGACATAATCACGCACGACGGCATACCACACGACAGGGCCCCACACGGTCGGGTCCCACACGGTCGGGTCCCACACGATAGGGCCCAACACAGTACGTTGTCCCACACGGTAGGACCGTACACGATAGAGTACCACATGTCGTTTTAAGACATGCGCCCTTTAACTCGCAAGGTATGACGGTTTGGAGTCCACATTGGTATCACATGATTAGTGGACGCGTTCGAATTAGTTCGTGTCGGCTCAGTATCATGGAGATTGTTTTTTCGGGCGCACCAATGAATGCGCAATTCCACAACACTTCGGCGGGAATAGCTTGATTGATTCGATCTTATCTTTGGCACACAATGGCAGCATGAGTACTCCTGGCTTGTGAATTCAACGTTGCTGCCCCCAGACGGAAAAGCCTGGGCGACAGGTGCCTGGAATAGCGCCGTGGCCCCAGGACCTTGTTCCGAGCTGAACTGTTTGCTTTGGGGGGTGGACCCGACAGGGCCTGAGGAATAATCGCCGTCGTCGTCGGCCTTCACCGCCATGCAGCTTGCATGCAGGCTTGCCGGCCGCGCCTCGGACTGCAGAGGGCCGCTCCGCGTGCGCACAGCAGTGCTTCGGGGAGCCTGCCGGCGAGGCTGGTGGAGGTGGCGCCCCCACCCTCGGCCTCGCCGAGCCCCGGCGTGCCTGTGGCTCTCGGGGGCCCCGGCATGGGCTCCTGCGCCGCGCCCCGCCGCCGGCCATTGCCGCCTCGGGAGGCCATCCTGCACTTCAGTCGGGGGCCCCGGTGGGCTCCTGCGCCGCGCTCCGCCGCCGGCCCCTGCCGCCTCGGGAGGCCATCCTGCACTTCAGCTCGCTGATCGGGCCGCGGAGCACTCTGCCGGACGGCCCGGCGCCGCTCAACAAGGCGATGAGGGCCCGCGCAGGGCACGCCGGCGCGGTGCTCGGGAGTGGTGGCATTGGGGGACGGGGGCGTGGAGACGGGGACCTCTTGATTACAGAAATGCAGCACCACTGAGAATGCAGACGTGCTTCGCTCCAGAGCGCTACTGGCGGTCTCTTGAGGGCGATCATGGGGGCCACTGGGGCCGTCTTGGAGCGTCTGATGCTCGAAAAAAGAAGGGAGGGACGTTACAGTGAGCGGCTTGAATGAGGAACGCTTGCTTTTCAGAAGGGGCCCGCTCGTTCCTTAGGCTTGCATACGTTATTTACCGTTCCTCATGCGTTATGTATAATGTATCGTTCCTTATGCGTTACGTCTTGGAACAAAAAGGGGCTTCGTTCCTTATGTTTCGTTCCTTAGGTCAGGCCGATGACTGTACAGATGAGCAACTTTTGAAAATCACGGATTTGGGCGTCTCGGGTTTTCCTTGGGCTCCTCTCGGAGGTCTCGTGGGGCGACGTGTCGACCTGCGGGGCCGCCACGAGGTCATCTTGGCCACCTCTTGGTGCCCGCTGGGGGCACCCTGGGGAGCCTTGGGAGCGCTCCTGGGGCCATCTCGGAGGAGATCGATCAAAGAAGGGGGGGTGCCTAATTAGCCTACCCCCCCCCCAGGAGGCCAAAATGGGGCCAAAACCGTAGTCAAACCAGTGATTCTGGCTTCCTCGCCGAGGCTGTTTTGGACGCTCCATTACCCGCGGAACCCCCCGTCCAGGTCCAGGGGAGGGGGTAGGGGGGAGGGGTCAAGACACCATCTCCGCACGCAAGCCGTCTAGTTCACTCCCACCCGCCGTACCACCACATAAGTGGCATCCGAATCTCGGCATAGCCAGGGGTCGCCAATGGATGGACAGCCACTGGGAACCAAAGCGGACGCCAGGTGCGCGACGCTCGCCGCGGGCTCCACATGCGGTTGGTGTGCCATCCTTGTAAAAAAATATCCCAACCTAGGAGTTGGAGCATTTAGGAAAGCAACATCTACATCTACACCGACAGCCAGCTACATTTACATCCACACCTGCATCTACATCAACATCTACATCAACAGCGAGACTCACATCTACATCTAAATCTACATCTACACCTACATCTACATCTACACCTACATCCACACCTACACCTACACCTACACCTACATATGCACTTTCCTAGGAGCATAGGAGGCAATGCTAGCATAGCAGGCTATGCTACGCTATGCTATGCTGCGCTATGCTACGATATGCTATGCTGCGCGATGCTATGCTATGCTATGCTGCGCTATGCTATGCTATGATCGGCTATGCTATGATATGCGATGCTGCGCTATGCTATGTTATGCTCTGCTCTGCTATGCTATGATTTGCTGCGCTATGCTGCGCTATGCTACGCTATGCTATGTTATGCTATGCCGTGCTATGCTAAGCGCTGCTATGCTATGATATGCTATGCTGTGCTGCGCTATGATATGCTATGGTATTATATGATATGCTTCGTTATTATGAGCTATGCACTGCTATGCTATGCTATGCTATGCTTGGTCATGGTATGCTATGCTATGCTGTGCTAATGCTGCGCTGCGCTATGCTGCGTTGCACTAAGCTAAGGTAAGCGAAGCTATGCTAAGCTAAGCTGAGCTAAGCTAGGCTAAGCTAAGCTAAACCAAGCCAAGCCAAGCTAAGCTAAGCTAAGCTAAGATGATATAAGCTAAGCTTAGCTAAGCTAAGCGAAGCTAAGCTAAGTTAAACCAAGCTAGGCTAGACAAGGCTAAGCTAAGCTAAGATGAGATAAGATAAGCTAAGCTAAGCTGGGTGAACCCAGGGGGCGCAACTGGGGGAACCGCGGGGCGGGGACTGGGGGAACCACCCGGGGCGTGTTGCACTGCCCGGCCCCTTTAGGTAACAGAGTAAGAACCCTTCTAGGCAGAGCCTAGGTAGGGAACTAACGTGCGCGGCGCTAAGGCGAGAGCCACATGTTGAAAAAGAACCGCCCTCAACATGTGAAAATCCTGTATTGTTTGAACAAGTGCGCGCGGCGCTAAAGCGAGAACCACATGTTGAAAACCGGTCGCCCTTCATCCGTGAAATTTTTGAGAATTATCCCAGTGCGACCCTACCTAGGACTTGGAGCCCCTAGGAAAGCAGCATTCGTAGTAACAGTAAAGCTAAGCTAAAGCTAAGCTAGAGCTAAGCTAAAGCTAAGCTGAAGCTAAGCTAAAGCTAAGCTAAAGCTAAGCTAAGGCTAAGCTAAAGCTAAGCTAAAGCTAAACTAAAGCTAAGCTGAAGCTAAGCTAAAGCTAAGCTAAAGCTAAGCTAAGGCTAAAGCTAAAGCTAAGCTAAAGCTAAGCTAAATCTAAGCTAACACTAAGCGAAAGCTAAGCTACAGCTAAGCTGAAGCTACGCTAAAGCTAAGCTAAGGCTAAGCTAAAGCTAGGCTAAAGCTAAGCTAAAGCTAAGCTGAAGCTGAGCTACAGCTAAGCTAAAGCTAAGCTAAAGCTAAGCTAAAGCTAAGCTAAAGCTAAGCTAAAGCTAAGCTAAAGCTAAGCTAAAGCTAAGCTGAAGCTAAGCTAAAGCTAAGCTCAAGCTAAGCTAAAGCTAAGCTAAAGCTAAGCTAAAGCTAAGCTAACACCAAGCTGAAGCTAAGCTAAAGCTAAACTAAAGCTAAGCTAAAGCTAAGCTAACACTAAGCTGAAGCTAAGCTGAAGCTAAGCTAAAGCTAAGCCAAATCTAAGCTAAAGCTAAGCTAAAGTTAAGCGACAGGTAAGCTAAGGCTAAGCTAACACTAAGCTAAAGCTAAGCTAAAGCTAAGCTGAAGCTAAGCTAAAAGCTAAGCTAAAGCTAAGCTAAGGCTAAAGCTAAAGCTAAGCTAAACCTAAGCTAAAGCTAAGCTAACACTAAGCGAAAGCTAAGCTAAAGCTAAGCTAAAGCTAAGCTAAAGCTACGCTAAAGCTAAGCTAAGGCTAAGCTAAAGCTAAGCTAAAGCTAAGCTGAAGCTAAGCTACAGCTAAGCTAAAGCTAAGCTAAAGCTAAGCTAGAGCTAAGCTAAAGCTAAGCTAAAGCTAAGCTGAAGCTAAGCTAAAGCTAAGCTAAAGCTAAGCTAAAGCTAAGCGAAGGCGGAGCTAAAGCTAAGCTAAAGCTAAGCTGAAGCTAAGCTAAAGCTAAGCTAACACTAAGCTGAAGCTAAGCTAACGCTAAGCTAAAGCTAAGCTAAATCTAAGCTAAAGCTAAGCTAAAGTTAAGCTAAAGCTAAGCTAATGCTAAGCTAGCACTAAGCTAAAGCTAAGCTAAAGCTAAGCTGAAGCTAAGCTAACGCTAAGCTAAAGCTAAGCTAACATTAAGCTGAAGCTAAGCTAAAACTAAGCTAAAGCTAAGCTAAAGCTAAGCTAACACTAAGCTGAAGCTAAGCTAAAGCTAAGCTAAAGCTAAAGCTAAGCTAAAGCTAAAGCTAAGGCTAAAGCTCCCAGGGGACTGGGGGAACCGCGGGGCGGGGACTGGGGGAACCGCCCGGGGCGGTTAGCACTGCCCGGCCCTTTAAGCAAAGAGAGTAAGAACCCTTCTACGCAGAGCCTAGGTAGGGAAAAAACTGGATGATCCCCCGTCCGCATGGTCCAGATGCTGATGTGGCGGGCGTCAGCATTGCTCTTGGCCTGCGCACAGCGAGCATCATCATGCGGGCACCACCGCCGTCCCTGTCAATTATCCCAGTGCGACCCTACCTAGGAGTTGGAGCCCCTAGGAAAGCAGCATTAGTAGTAACAGTAAAGCTAAGCTAAAGCTAAGCTAAAGCTAAGCTAAAGCTAAGCCAAAGCTAAGCTACAGCTAAGCTAAGGCTAAGCTAAAACTAAGCTAAAGCTAAGCTAAAGCTAAGCTAAAGCTAAGCTGAAGCTAAGCTACAGCTAAGCTACAGCTAAGCTAAAGCTAAGCTACAGCTAAGCTAAAGCTAAGCTAAAGCTAAGCTAAAGCTAAAGCTATATGAAATATAAAGCTGAGCTAAAGCTAAGCTAAAGCTAAGCCAAAGCTAAGCTGAAGCTAAGCTCAAGCTAAGCTAAAGCTAAGCTAAGGCTAAGCTAAAGCTAAGCTAAAGCTAAGCTAAAACTAAGCTAAAGCTAAGCTGAAGCTAAGCTAAAGCTCAGCTAAAGCTCAGCTAACGCTAAGCTAAAGCTAAGCTAAAGCTAAGCTAAAGCTAAGCCAAAGCTAAGCTAAAGCTAAGGTAACGCTACGCTGAAGCTAAGCGAAAGCTAAGCTAAAGCTAAGCTAAGGCTAGGCTAAAGCTAAGCTAACTATAATATAAAGCTAAGCTGAAGCTAAGCTAAAGCTAAGCTAACGCTAAGCGAAAGCTAAGCTAAAGCTAAGCTAAAGCTAAGCCAAAGCTAAGCTAAAGCTAAGCCGAGGCTAAGCCAAAGCTAAGCTAAAGCTAAGCTAAAGCTAAGCTAAAGCTAAGCTAAAGCTAAGCTAAAGCTAAGCCACAGCTAAGCTAAAGCTAAGCTAAAGCTAAGCTAAAGCTAAGCTGAAGCTAAGCTAAAGCTAAGCTAAAGCTAAGTTAAAGCTAAGCTAAGGCTAAGCTAACACTAAGCTAAAGCTAAGCTACAGCTAAGCTGAAGCTAAGCCAAAGCTAAGCTAAAGCTAAGCTAAAGCTAAGCTAACACTAAGCTGAAGCTAAGCTGAAGCTAAGCTAAAGCTAAGCTAACACTAAGCTAACACTAAGCTAAAGCTAAGCTAAAGCTAAAGCTAAAGCTAAAGCTAAGCTAAAACTAAAGCTAAGGCTAAAGCTCCCAGGGGACTGGGGGAACCGCGGGGCGGGGACTGGGGGAACCGCCCGGGGCGGTTAGCACTGCCTGGCCCTTTAAACAAAGAGAGTAAGAACCCTTCTAGGCAGAGCTTAGGTAGGGAACACACAATACAAAGTGATGGCGGGTGGCCAGCGCAATCTCCACGACGGTGTCGCAACGTGCACTTTGCATAGTTTTTTACACAGATGGTGGTCCTGCTCAAAGCTGCTTCACGAAGGGTGCCCCGCCATCCTTGTCAAAACACCATGCAGCGTGCTCACAGGGCGCCAGCGCACTGTCAAGATTTTGCTGCAATGTGCACTTCGTATTGTTTGTTGGCTGGGACTGTGGAGGGTGTTGGCAGGGTGGGCCCCTCAATGTGCATGTTTTATTGTTTTTGACAGGGATGGTGGGGGGGTGGTGCCCGCATGGTTCCGGGTTGGCTGCCGGCCAGGCGGGGGAGGGGGTGTTCATTCATAGGGAACTATGACAAACCCCTCCCCGAAGGGGAAGAGGGAGGGGTGGAAGAGGAAATTCCCTAAATCACCTTACGCCCTAAAGGGCTGGTGGGATTCTGCAACTGCCGCTTGGGGACCAGAGTCCTCTAGCACACCCCAGCCGGCTGATAGAAAACGATTCAACGCAACAAAAAGGGATGGGTGGCAGTGGTTGGATGGCAAGTGTGGCGCGAGCGCGCCTAACTGGCGCCCTTCGCCTTCTCCTTTCTACCCCGCCTCCCCTTCTCCGCACTCACCCCCACCAACCCCTTACCAGGCAGTTGCGAGCCGAAGTTCCCCGCCGATACTCAGAGCCGCGGTGAGTGGAGACGTGCCGTTTGCCAAAGCTCGGCTCGGCAAGGCAGCATGGAAGCGCGTGCAAAGAAAGGCGAAGTGGCACATTCGGGTCCGCCAGCCCACGCGGCCAATCGCGGCGCCCGGGCTGTCAGCCCGCCGGCCTGTGAGGCGGAGGGCTCGAAATGTCAGCTCGTGTGCCCATCGTGGGTCCCTCGTGGGGTCGTCTTGGGGGCCTCTTGTGCCGACCCTCGTGGGGGCTCTTGGGCCTTGGTTGGGGCGATCTTGGGCGTCTCTTGAGCCGCCTTGGACGCCGCCCCAGCCCGCCGCCCTGGCCGCGCGGTGCACGTGGCAGCGCTGCAGCCGGCGTTGATTTGGCGAGCGGCGCGGGCAGCGAAGTTACGACTCATGTGTCGGGGCAGATGCGCTCGCGCGCGTGCGGTCGGTTGCCGTGGTCCAGGTGTTGGAGGCCCAGCCCCCCCCCTCCTCCCAGGCGGGGCGGTGCGCGCGGGAGGGGGCGCCGAACGAGGTTATGTGAGTGAGCGCGGCTCGCTCGGGGCCCTGAGTTTTGCGAGGTTTGGACCGTCGCGCGACCCTGGCCACCCCTCCGTGAGACCTTGGTATGTTCGAGAGGGGCCTTGATTGTCTTTCTGGCGAAGAAGGGGAACTTCCGTCTGTCGTAGTCTCTTCTCTGTTGATGAATTCCCGAGGATGGTCCAACCAGCCGACAGGCTGGTTGCTCACGCACTGCGTTGTCAGCTTGGGATCCGCCTGAGAGAGAGAGAGAGAGAGAGAGAGTGCACTCGTCATCCTCATCGTCGTCGCCCTCCTTCTTGTCGTCCGCATCCAGCTTGCTCACGACGTGCTGTATACCATTCGCGCCGTCGCCGCCGCAAGCCATTATGGTTCGGGGCCCGTCCTGGGCGGGGACATGTTCAGCAGCCGTCCACCAGGTGCAGGGCCTTCGCTCTATGTCATCTTGATCGAAGCGGGAGAGCTGTGCCCCCGTGACCACGAGCTCGGCGCGTGCGGGTCGGTCTTGGTCGAGGCGCACCTAGACGGCGGCCCCGCCCTCAGCCAGTCGACCGCGCAGCCGAGCTTCCCGTGCGCATGCTGGACCGAGGCGACACGTATCCCCTTTCATCTACGTTAAAGTCGGGCCTGTCCCTCTACAGGGGGAATATCCCGAAATAGTCAACCAAATAGTCTGGGGACGATGTTTTGACATGTTTTGAATAGTTTTTGGGTATCTCTGGGGTCTGTTTCATTGTTCGCCCAAAATCCGCCTGTAGGGGGACACGCCCGACCTAAATCGATGTGTAAGGATCCCAAGCCCTGCGACCCCCCCCCAGGAACGGGACCCCCCTGGGTCTTTGGCCCCTCGTTTCTTTGGGGGGGAGGGGGCGCCTTTGCAGGGATTTTTTTCTGGACGCCCCATGCCACAGACCACCAGACGCTGGAAGTCGGCCCAAAGAACACCCCCCAAGAGGCCCTCGAAGCGGAAGGAACACGATATTGTCGATGGGTGTTAGCACAGCTTCGGTTTTGCGGCCTTCGGGCGTCCGAGACCGCCCGAGAGGTTTCCAAGATCGCCCCAGGACTCGCCAGAGAGGCGCCGAGACGGCCCAGGAGGGACACGATACAGCCCGAGATGGCCCCGGGAGGGCCCCGAGAGGACCCCCCAGACGGCCCGAGATGGACCCAGGGCGCCCCCCAAAAACGCTCCGAAGCGGGACCCGCCCGTGGAGGGACACCGCGAAGGGCAGCACGATGGCCCCGAGAAGCCCTCGGAGGCCCCCCAGAAAGACCTCCGGAAGGCCTCCAGAGGCACCTGGCAAGCCCCAAGGAGCCTTCGAGCGGTCCCCAAGAAGGGGCCTCCGCCAAAAAGAGGGACGGGTCCGCGCAAAATGAGGACGGGGAAGCAGACAAGGAAAGAGGAAGAAAGGGAGAAGGAGAATCAGAAAGAAAACGACAGCGCTAACACGGAGACATGGACATTGTATATCGGTCCTTCTCTACCTCTCACTCCTCTCCGATCTCTATCCCTCATTCCGCCCGTGCGAGAGTTGCAGGACCAAGGTGCACGGCGCGATGTATAGGATACGGTATGCAATGTCATGATATGACATGCTACAATATGAAATGAGATGTTGTGCGATGCCATATTATGGTATGAGATGGCACGATATGGTATGAGTCAAATATGAGGCGTTGTGATATGAGATTGGACGGGGTGCAATGAGTTGAGTTGTGGCGAGGTGATCTGGCACGATACGACATGGTGTGATATGAGATAAGATGGCATGCTATGATGTGGTTTGATCTGATACGACAAACGGCGGGGGGGCGTTGATTAAGGAATGTGCCAAGGAAGCCTGCAGACCCTGGAGGATCCTCAGAGAGAAAAATGCCTCCGCCGTACAATGATATTGTATGAGATGGCAGCGCATGACATATTATGGCATGATATGATATGGTATAACATGCTACCATATAACAAATATACATAGATAGGCTACCTGATGGGATCCGTTTGTCTTTGACTACCCTGTTATCTATACACATATGTCTATATCATCCTCTCTCTCTCTTTCTCGTTCTTTCTCTCTCTCTCTCTCTTTATTTCTGTCCCTCTGTCTCTGCCTCTATGTCTCTCGCCATCTCTCTCTCTCTCTCGCACTCTCTGCTGCTATTTCTCCCTCTCTCTCTCTCTCCCTCCCTCCCCTCCTCTACCTCTACCTCTACCTCTACCTCTGTCTCTCTGCACAGGCGCGTGCATCACCCGACGGCCGAGACCGAGGGGGTGGCACTCTCCGTCGAGGCCGCACTCGGGCGCCGCTCGCACCCTGCAGCCCCCTTCTCGGTACTCGGCAGGCCGGCACCCGACGCCTCCCGCACGGCTGCTGAGACCATCTCGATTAGACGTGAGAGTGGCCCTTCGCCGGAGTGACCTTTATGGCGAGGGCCCACGGGGGTCCCCCGATCGCCGAAAGGCGAGGCGGCAGTGGCGTCTTGCGCGCTTGTGTTTGGCCCCCCCGCGGCCCCCCAAAAGGCGCGCACCAAAGGTCACTCTTAACCCAGGGCCACTCTTGCGTGCAGCCGACCATCGCCGCGCCCATGGCGCGACCAGCTGGGCAGGAGCCGCCTCGGCCAGTGGTCAGAGGAGGAAAAGGCACCCGCATCGCCACCCTTCCCTGGTTTTCCCCGTTTTGGGGGGCCTCCCGGGAAGCCCTCGTCGCCAGCGCTGGGTCCGCTCCGAGACTGTGGTCAGCGCGCGCCGCGGGAGAGGTCCGGGGAGGAGAGCGGCATCCGTACTTGTTGGTTTCGCCACAGAAGGTTGGAGCACCCCTGCACCCCTGCCCATTGCGAGGCCGCAGCGGCCAAGAGGGCGTCTTCCGGCCCTGCACCCCACGAGGCCCTCGGCCTCCGTCGCGTCCACCAGGCCGCGGGCCCCGCGCGCCCTGCCTGGACTGGGCGGGGGGGGCCTGGCCCCACTCGGTCCCCGGCGCGCCTCCAGCTGGCATCAGCCGCCCTTGAAGCCGGCGCCGGAGCTGACGTCGGCAGCCTCCCCTCCCAGCTGCAGCTGCCACAGGCCGTCCTGCCAGAGCCATGGTGGCGCCACACGTTGGAGCGCAGAAGCCGCCTCGGCCAGCAGGGGGGAGTACCCCTGACCCCTGCGCCAGATGGGGCCGCCTCAGCCAACAGGGCGGCTCCTGGCACCCCACCCCGCCACGCATGCGTCCACCGCCTGTCACTCCGGCAGCGGGCGGCCCGTATAGGGTCAAAGCCGCGCAGCAGGTTTGCCACGTGTTGCCGCGTCTTCTTTTTCTTCTTCTTCTTCTTCTTCTTCGTCTTCTTCTTCTTCTGGCCTGCCGTTGCCAGCGCCGTTGGCGGCAGCTCGCCCTGGCACTGGGCTTTCAGGCCCTTGGTACGGTTCCTGCACCCGAGCTTGGCGAACGCCCAGCAGCGATAGCAGAAGGTATAGGGCAACCTGGTGTGGAGTACATGCCTATAGCCCGCCGGGCTGAACTTGCCAACAGCCCCCCACCATGCACGCTGGCGACGCGCTGCGCTCTTAGCTGCCCCAGATCAGTGGGGTGACGGGACTTGTGGTCGAGCAGCTCCTTCGCCTTGACAGTGTGCGCCTTTCTACCACAGCGGACGCTCTGCACCCCGTCCGCACCGCAGGCTTGGTAGGATTGGCGCGTCACCCGCCCAGTGCGTGTGTTGCCTGCCTCGGCGTACGAGTTTGCCGTTCTTGTTCAGCTGGCAGATACCTGCCGCCGCCCAGTCCATGTATCCCGCGGTGTCGACCGCCATCAGCAGCTCCGCGTACAAAGCCTGGACCGACGAGTCCGCCACCTTTTCACCTCTCGCTCCCATCCCCGCGAAGAAGTCGTCCCAGCAGTTCCCAAGCCAGTCCAGCGGGTTGAGGTTATCTGCCAAGGCCCTCTCCATGGCGCGGTGAGTTGGCACCCAGCGGAGGGCTGGCGGAGGCTCGCCCGATTTCCGCATCACGTTGCGGACGGCCGCGCGCCGCCTCCTCCTTGGGGTCCGAGTTGTTCCTCTTCTTGGCGAATGACTGCAGGTCGCTGAGCACTACCTTGACCGCCCCCTCTCATGCTTGAGCGCGTTGAGTGGCGCCACCCTCTCAGCCCGGCCCACCGTATGCTGCATCCCTGGGAGAGCACCGCAGAGGGCCCGCATGGGTAGGCCAGCAGGGCAGAGTGCAACCGACGCCCAGCCACATCTGCGCGCCTCTGGCACATGTGGTGCAAGGCCAGACCCGTCGGTGTGTAGTTTGGCAGGCCACGGCACCTGCGACGCCCCCCATTCATGCACCTCCACGCCCTGAAACTAGGGGCCAGCGTCGCTGGCGCCAGCAGGAGCCCGTAGCAGATCTGGAGCTCGCTGTCACCAATCACCCAGTTGTCATTCGCCTCCTCCAGCTGCTTCCTCATGGCCGCGATGGGTTCGCAGAAGGGCTCATCCTGCTCCAACTCGTCGCCCGGCTGCTGCATAAGTGCTGGGCACGCGCACCAGCAGTGCCGCAGCGTGTCTGGAGCATTACGTCACGCCAGACAGTACGCCGACGCTTGCATCTGGTGCTCAGCCCGCCAGCTGCCCGCTTGGTGCCCGCCAACCCACAGCGCCTGGAGCGCTCTTTCTCCTTGGGTGCCCTGACGGCCTTGACAATGGCACGGTTGGCCCTGGGCCACAGGCGTTCCCCTCGGCTCTCCGGCAGGTGCGCGACCATGCGGCGGCAGAGCCGGCGTTGGATGCCGTCCACCAGCTGGTCTGTGACGTCCCTGGGCGGCACCGTGAGGAGCGAAATGGCTACGCCCTCGTCCGTCTGGAGCGTCCAGGCTGACAACATCTTCCTGCCAACCCGCCGAAGCGAGAGCCATACCGCCCCACGAGGGCCCGTCGCTGTCGCCCACGTGAGGCCGTCGCGGGCCGCGACGTCGGCCAGTCACGTCCAGCTGTCCTGCAGCTGCGCCGGCGAGCCCCTGTCCTCCCAGGCCCAGGCCGCCAACCGCGTGACCGAGGTCACCGTGGCGCTGAAGATCGGGTCGCAGTCGACGCGGCCCCGAGGCACCATGGCTGCCGCAGCTCAACGAGCTCGGCTCCGCGCCTGCTGCGGCGGCGGCCAGGGTGCGGAGATGTGCGCCAGTGGCTTCGTCCGTGCCCCGCTGCAGGGGTGGCCCCGGTGGGGGAAGGAGCGGCCGCCCGCCGGGCCGCGGCGCGTCGCGGTGCTGTCGGCCTCCGGCCTCCTCTTCTCCTGGGCCCCCCCCACCTTCCGCCCGCCCTGAGGAGGCTGAGGTTCGGCCCTCCTCACTCGTTTGTCTTCTATCCTCGATGTAGGCGGCTCTGACGCCTTTTCGGCTCCCTTCCTTCCTTCATTCATTCATTCCATTCATGCCCGTGCAGCTCGGGGCCTGAGCTGCGGACCCAGAGCTTCTCCTGCAGCTTCAGACGTTTGGCAAAGGCGGCGAGTGGTATGGTCATCCTGCGTGACGATGCCGGCACCCCCGACTTGGCTGGCTCTCTCTCTCTCTCTCTCGTCTCCTCTCCTCTCTCCTCTCCTCTCCTCTCCTCTCCTCTCCTCTCCTCTCCTCTCCTCTCTCTCTCTCTCCTCTCCTCTCCTCTCCTCTCTCCTCTCCTCTCCTCCTCTCCTCTCTCTCTCTCTTTCTCTTTCTCTCTCTCTCTCTCTCTCTCTCTCTTTCCCTCTTTCTCCTCTCCTCCTCTCCTCCTCTCCTCTCTCTCTCTCTCTCGCTTTCTCTCTCTCTCTCTCTCTCTCTCTTTTCCCCTCCGTTCTGCTCGTCAGACCTCCGTTCTACTCGTCAGACCTGAGGGTGTTTGGATGACGGGGAAAGACAGGACAGAGCTGTGGAGTGCGCGATCTTCTGAGGGATGGCACCCGAATCTGGAGGCCGAGCTGGGAGGGATCTGGGAGCGAGAAGCGCGCAGGCGCTGCCCGTGCCTGGGGCCTCCTCCGGCGCCGTGCTCACGCTGGCGCTGCTGGACGACGACCCGCTGCAGCCGCGCGCCGGCCGCTTCTCCTTCGGGCGCGTGGAGCTGCAGCTGACCGGCGAGTTCATGGGGCGGCATGATCACGTGCCGCTCCAGGAGCAGGGGCTCAGAGGCCAGGCGAGGGCTGGCAAACCCGTGGCCGCTAAGACGGAGCCCCGGGAAGTTGTTTTTGTTTTGTTTTTCTTCCGGGAAGCAGCCCGTGTACTATACTGTATAGGTGGTGCGCTGAGTTGTATTCCGGGATGTTGTTTTTTTCTTCCGGGGAGATCGTTTTAGCAGCCACGGATTTGCCAGCCCTCGCCCAGCTTCCGAGGGGCGCCACCAACAGAGGCACATCGGTCAACATCGTCTGGGGCTGTTGCGACGGTGCTCCCCCCCCTTCGTCAGCGATGTCGAACACTCCTATTTCTGCGGGCGCGAGACGGCGAAAGCAGTGCAGGCGCGGGTCGGGCTTCGGGCGGGACACGCTGGGAACTACTTGAGGCACAGGCGGAAACGGAAGAGGCGGGGAAAAGGTGAAGGGGCGGGAACCGTGCAGTCCGTCGCGGGAGTGATGGCGAACACACTCCATGCCCGCCCTTGTACACGCACCCCCCAATCAGGAAATGGACCAGGCGAGCCATCCCCGACCCCCTCCTCCAGGTACCCAACCAATCAATGCTGCATGATTTGGCCACACTCCGTATGAGTGCTGATATGCATTGCGAATCCCACCCAGCTGTAACCGCGTTTTGTTCCCAGATGCACTCCCCGATCTGCCGAGTAAGCGAGCAAGTACGTAGCGAGCTAATGGCAGAGGGCGTTCGAATTAGGGCCTCTCTTTCGAGGACCCTCCTCCTCCTCCTCCCCCTCCTCCTCCTCTTCCTCCTTCTCCTCCTCCTCCTCCTCCTCCCTCCTCCTCCTCCTCCCTCCTCCTCCTCCTCCTCCTCCTCCTCCTCCTCCTCCTCCTCCTCCTCCTCCTCCTCCTCCTCTGGGTGCAAGAAGCGGCGCGCCGCCCCAGGACTCTCCGGGCAGCACCGGCTACCTCACCTTCGAGCTGTCGCGGGCGCCCATGCGCGTCGAGGCAGGAGACCCTTGGCACGACCACCGGTCCACTAGGTCGTCCCCCGGGGCGCGAAGGTAATCGCGCTTCGAGCGTCGCGGCCTGGCGCCCGCGCGAGGGCGCCAGGGCGAGAAGATGACCGCGCACCGCGCGGCGCGCTGCGCGGAGTTCGGTCACCTAGGCCAGCACCCCCGTCCCGCCCCTCCCATGCTCCCCTCTCGAAGCCATATTAAGGCCGCCTGGGGCCATATTCGCCCCATCTTCGGGCCAGAAGTGGCCATCTGGGGGCGTCAGTGGGCTGACGCTCCTCCTCCTCCTCCTCCTCCGCATCCTCCTCCTCCTCCTCCTCCTCCTCCTCCTCCTCCTCCTCCTCCTCCTCCTCCTCACGGGTGGGGACGGACGGAGGGGTGCGGGTCGGGAATCCGATATGTAAAAACTATGTACTATGTATACCCGTGTCCGTTCTCTCGAGTTGAAGTCGTAAAAGATGATTAGGGTTGTGGAGATTCCCCAGTGATGTCCCAAATAATCTGCAAAAGGTGTTACTACCAACGGGTTCATGCAAGACGGATGTTTGAAAAGACACGGTCTCCCTCCTTCGAACTACATGGGGATTGCGCATTTCAAGAATCCGCTACGAGGGAACGACGGAAGGATGATTGCAGGCGTAAGGCGTCGTTTCGCTGGACCTCCCATGAGCTGACGAAACTGGCGACAGACACGGTGTTGACAGCGCCCCGCCAAACAAGATCTGGTTTGATGCGCAGGACGTCATTCCGCTGGACCTCCAAGGAGCTCACGCAATTGGCGACAGCTGCGATGTGAATTAGTGTGATCCGTGCAAGGTGTCACTCCGCTTGACACCGCCCAGGCAAACGAAGTCCAGCCTAATGCGCAGGAGGCATCGCTCCGCTGGACCTACCAGGAGCTCACGAAAACGGAAGTCTTCGACTAGAGGGTCGATAACAAAATTGATGTACCCCAACTTGTTGCGTAGACTGTTCGTAGATCTATGGGACATTATGCGTATTGTTCGTAGATTCGTCGAAGCATTGATTCTGTGGGTAGATCAATTGTGTAGTCGATCCCCTACTCGAAATCTTGCAGCTGGCAGCGCCGCCCCATTGCGGCGAGTTGGGAGGCAGAAGTGGGGAGGAGGAGGGTAGCGGGAGAGGACGGGAGAGGAGCTGCAGCGCTGTATTCAGCACGAGGGCCCGCACGGTGGAAGGCTGGGGGGATCTTCCCTCCTCCTCCTCCTCCTCCTCCTCCTCCTCCTCCTCCTCCTCCTCCCCCTCCTCCTCCTCCTCCTCCTCCTCCTCCTCCCTCCTCCTCCTCCTCCTCCTCCTCCTCCTCCTCCTCGCTCCTCTCAAGGCTACGTTCGCTCCTCCTCGCTCCTCCGTTCCTCGCCCCTCGCCCCTCGCTCCTCCTTGCTCCTCGATCCCTGCTACTGGCTACTCGCTGCCCCTCGCCATGGCTGAATTCAGGAAGAACGGAAACGTGACGACCTTCCGTTTGGCGGCGCTCGGTTGTCCCCGAGACCTGGGGCGCTGGGCCGGTGGGTGCCGCGAGGGTCTCGCAGAGGGGCGCCGGCGCCAGGGCCCCACCCACTTGCGGCCAACGCTGCCGAGCTGGCTGCAGGCGGCGGCGGGCCTGTGGAGGGAAGGAGGGCGAGGGGGGACAGGACGTGAGAGGAGGAGGAGGAGGAAGAGGAGGAGGAGCAGGAGGAGCAGGAGGAGCAGGAGGAGGATCAGAGTATACTCAAGATACCACAAAACGCTGCACTACACCCTCCCGTCCCAAGCCCCCTCCATAAGTCCCTACAGTTTTTCCTCCCCGCAACAAACGTGCACCCTTGGAAGACCAAGAACCTTTCGCCCTGCCATGCAGGCGATAGCCCCTTTTTTCTGAAGGGGAGCTATCAACGAGCGAAAAATCAGGAATGCCAGAAGATGTAGCATAAGCTTCAATGAGGTGTCCATTGGTATCACCGTTCTGTGCAAATACTTGGCCAGTGTGCACATGTCTTCATGGCCGTCCCTGGAAGTCTCAAGAGATAGCTCCATTTTGTGCAACCCTCCATCGGTGCAGCTGTTACGTCAGTTCAAGCTTCTGGTCTCTAGGTTCAGCGAAGCCTCAAGCGAGAGCCCCATTTTGAAAAGGATTTGGCCTCCATTCCTGTACATGCTGCAGTTTTGTAAGACGAATGTGCGCGGCGCATCGACGGCAGCCACATTCTGGAAAGGAATCGCCCTCCATCCTTGTAGCTGTTACCAGCTTTTCAGGCGAATGTGGCTAGGCGGAAAGCCCGTTGTTTAACCCCGCCGCCCATCTTTCCGTGTGGATGCTCCAACTCGTTAAGCCCAATGTGCAGTTCTGGGGTTGCGACAGGAAGGTGCTATTATTACAAGAATGCGAGCAAGTGTGGACACCAAACAGCGATGTCTTGCAACCTAAGCGGTGCTATCTAGGTGGTGCAAACCAATGTGGTGCCACCTAGGTGGAGCAATCCACGTGGTGCAATCTATGTGGTGCAAAGCAGCGCACTGTAAAGCAACGAAAAGCAACGCACAGCAATGCAAAGCAATGCAAAGCAATGCAACGCAAAGCAATGCAACGCAATGCAACGCAATCAACAATGCAAAGCAATGCCAAGCACTGCAAAGCGTTGCAGGCAATCCGAGCAATGCAAAGCCATGCAGGGCAGTCCAAAGCCATGCAGTCCATGCAATCCGCGTTGCGTTGCACAGCAATGCGAGGCAATCCAAAGCAATGCAGGGCGGCGCAAAGCAATGCAAAGCAGCGCGGCGACGGTGGCGACGAGCCGGCCGGACCGGCACCAGGGCCCAGCGTCGACGGCGGCGACGGACGGCGACAAGCCGGTTGGAGGAGCAGGAGGATGAGGAGGATGAGGAGGAGGAGGAGGAGGAGGAGGCGGGAGGAGAAGGAGGGAGGAGGAGGAGGGAGGAGGAAGAGGAGGAGGAAGAGGAGCTTGCTTGCTTGCTCACGGCTGTGGGCCGATGAATCAAATCAGTACTACCGCTCTTGGCAAAATTGGACGATGGCAAGCCGTTGCAGCTCTTATTTCATCGAGGGACCGAGGGCCACCGACGGGACCGAGCGAACGGGACCGAAGAGGAAAAGAGAGACCGAGCGACGGGCCAAGGGCCGCGACCGACGGGACGAGGAGGGAGGCGAAGAGAAGCGGGGTCAGAGATTAATTGCGTCCGCCGTCCGCACCGCACGGTGCGAATCAGTTGCCAGGTGCGCGAGGCTGCACTGCCATAGCTCAATGGCCACGGCGCGAGGCTCGCGCTCCGAACCTGAACTCTACTCCACGAGCCAGCCTTCAAAGATCACATCCTCAGTCACTGGCGGCCAGAGATCTGGGGCTTCCAACTCATCACTGGTGTGATTCTCGTTCTCTATTCTTTCAAGACGTCGATCCACGCTGAGACTTCGTCCTCTATGTAGCCCGACGGGGCCCCCACTGACCGTAGCTCCCATCGCACGGAAGCTCTCGAGGATCCTCATTTCCAAGTCCGTGCGGTCGAGGGCGTACATTATCTTGAGCGTGTCCGCCTGCTTGCATCCCTCGAGCACAGCCTCACGTAGGTCGGTGGCTGGTCGTCCATCTCCGCGAGCGTGGCCTGGAGGAAATCCCTGTTCTGACGGCCGATCTCCTCCTTCGACAGGGCCTCCAGCATTGCGCAGTAAACCGCTGGGGCGGGCGGCCCCAAGCTGCGCAGATCCTTCAAGATCTGCTCTGCGTCCAGGTCGTGCTTCCTGGCGGCTGCGGCGTCCGAGTCCTTGTCGTCTTTGGCCTTCTGCTTGAGCTTGTTGATGTCGGACCTCATGTCGTTGGCGATCTGGGCGAAGCTACTGTTCTCCGTCTGCATGGCCTTGACTACGGGCGAGCTCTCCTCCAGCATGACCGTGCGTGTCGTGATACCCCACATCGCCCTCGATCGTTGTGCCAGCTGGGCCACCAGCATCGTGAGGTGCAAGAGAAGCTTCTTCAGCCCGCTGTCCTTCGTGGTGAGCTTGCGCTCCTTGGCCTGAGGAAGAGGAGGAGGAGGAGGAGGAGGAGGAGGAGGAGGAGGAGGAGGAGGGAGGAGGATGGAGAAGGATGAGGAGGACGGAGCTGGGAGAGCGATGAGGTGGGAGATTGATGAGGAGGGAGAGCGATGAGGAGGGAGAGTATTATGAGGAGGGGGGAGCTGGAGGGCCACGCCTCTGCCTGGAAGCCCACTCGATGCACATCAGAACCCATACAGTCCATTGAAGCAGACGTTCTTGCAACAACCAACCTACGCCTCCATCCTCGTTCCTCCTTGTTTCTTCGGCCTTCTCCTCTTGACCCTTTCTTCCTCTCCCCCCCTTACTCTGACTCCTCCTCCTCCTCCTCCTCCTACGTGGATGCTTGGGCCCTGGGCCGCGTGTGTCGGGATGGCCCCCTCGAGGGGAAGCGGATTTGATCTTATGTCTTGCACCGGCCTCCTCTCGTCCCCTGCTCTTGACCGTCCGTCCCCTCGCGCGTGGCTGGATCACTCTCCGTCCCCCTCCCCCTCCTCCTCCTCCTCCTCCTCCTCCTCCTCCCCTCCTCCTTCTCCCCTCCTCCTCCTCCTCCTCCTCCTCCTCCTCCTCCTCCTCCTCCTCCTCCTCCTCCTCCCTCCTCCTCCTCCTCCTCCTCCCCCCCCCCCTGCGCGCTCGCCACCGCGAGGGAGCAAGTGCGCGGGAGGGGGAGGAGGGGGGACGAGGGGAGGGGGCGGAGAGGGCAAGCTGACGCCGCAGGCGGATCGCCCCCACTGCCTGGTAAGGAAAGAAGAGGAAGGCAACGAGGCGGAGGAGGGAGGAGAGGGAGACGCAAGTGGAGGAGGAGGAGGAGGAGGAGGAGGAAGGGGACTCCCATTGTTTGGCCCTCTCCAACTCCCATGGTGTTTCTTCCTCCCAGACATCACATCCAAAACATCTGGCCGCCCCATCCGCCTCCTCTCCCGGAAGAGGGGACGGACGCGGACTTCTGCGGCGTTCTCCGCGTGGCCGCGGACAGGCGAAGCCGCCGCGGTGTTTTCCAGGCGCCGCCCCTGCAACACCGGCCCGCCGGCCGAGGAGTTGCCTCGGGGGGTTCGATCCTCGATCCTCGCTATCCTCGATCCTCGATCGACCCTCGATCCTCGGGGAGGCCTTCGTCGCCACGGCTGGGTCCGCCTCGGAGTCGTGGTCGTCTTCCACTGGGGGGGAGGGGTGTTGGGAGAGGTCAGGGCCAGGGCAGGGAGGCGGACTTGCCTTTTTGCACTGCCCCTCCCTCCTTCCTCTTGCCCTCGAGCACATCATCCCTCATCACTTCACTCTGCTCCATCCCTCCTCCATCCCTTGCTCCGCCCCCGTCTCCCCCACTTCCTCACTCCCTCGCCTCCTTTCTGCCTCACCCCCTTGCTCCCTCCGTCCATCCGTCCCACGTCCCTCCTTCCTCCCTGAGCCGGCGTCGTCCTCATCTTCGTCGTCCTGCTGATGGCCTAGTGCCCCAGGCCATGTCTGGCCTGTGTGCCTTTCCCGTTGGCCTCGGCTCTCGCGCCGGGGGGGGGGGGGGGGGCGAGGCTGGGCACAGCTGTCCAGAGTGGCCGCTGCGGCTCAGGAGCCCCGCATCGGGGCTTCCGCCAACCCCAGGCCGCAACCTGAGCCACGCCAAGAGGGTGGGTCGGCTGCGCGGGTATTCGCTCGCAGTGCGGCCTACCCTCGTTCCCACGCGGAGTGCCGCGTTATGGCGGATTGCGTAAGGCACCACGCGAGGTCGCCATGTCCCCAGCCCAGCAGTGGTTGCGGGGGCCTCCTCTGTTCAGGCCCCACCACTGGGATCGGTGGCCTCACCAGCGCAGGCCCTTCCTGTGCCTGCACAGGGTGGGAGCGGCACTGTACCTACGGGAGGTGCCCCCACCCCCACCTCGCTCTCTGCTACACCTGTACATGGTGGGCGAGGCACTGTACCTTCGGAAAGTGCCCCCACCAGCAATTCCTCCCTCGAAGTCGCAGGAGGCGAGCCTCACACCCCAGTTGGCCAGCAGCACAGAGAGAGAGAGAGTCATCGTCGTCCTGACATCGTCGTCTGGTGTTTGTTACGAAAATGCTTCTGGTCTGGCGAGAGTGGTGGAAGCCTTCCGCCAAGAAGATGACGAGGCGCCTCTGGTCTGTGTCCCACCGAGTGAACACACCGATGGAGCGATTCTGATTAATATGTTAAAGTATGTTTGTTATGTCTATGTTGTGCAGCGGACCTCTCGGTACACTCCGTCGTCGACGGCGGTCTCCACCGCACCGCCTCTGCGTCGCAGCTGCAGTACTCTCGGGTACTACCTGGCTCCCCGCCTTGCTGTTGTCTGTGCCTTATCTTCTACAGGTTTGGCTACCAGTGCTTTGCCTTGATCTTTTCTGCCGCGGTCATCTGTCCTGGTGCAGTCTCTCTGGCGCGCGCAGCTCTCTGTCTCCAAGGCACGGTCCTTGTCAAAAAATTATCCTCGTCTTCGTTGCTCATCTGCTGCTGGGTCATCCACCGTGCGGCAGGTCTCCGTGGGGCGGTGCAACTTCACCAGCTGGGAGGCGGGCTTCGAGGCGCGGTCTGGCGAGTGCGGCAAGAGGCTACTCGTGGTGGAGAGCAAGCCGCTGATGAGCGTCCACGCCACACTGCAGGCGGAGGCCAGAGCGGCAGACGACGACGACGACGACGACGACGACGACGACGACGACGACGACGACGACGACGGCGGCGGCGGCGGCGGCGGGCGGGCAGGATGGGCCTCGGCCCGGGCATCCCCTCCGATTCAGACGCGAAGGGACTTCGGGGGTGCTTGGGGAGGCGAAGGGAGCAGCCTCGAGGACGAAGCCGAGGCCGAGGAGGAGAAGGAGGAGGGCCGGGAGGAGGCATCGAGGGAGGGAGCGTTCCAAAGACCGCAGCATCGTTCCTCGGGTTCTCTTCTTGCGCCTCCCCGTCCACCGCCCAGGAGGGGCGCCACAGACGCTCGCGCTGCTGGCCAGCGGCAGCGCCTGTGGCGCCCAGGAGGGGCGCGACGGCTGCGGCAGCGACGGCTGCGGCAGCGACGGCGACGACGGCGACGAGGACGACGACAGCGTTCGCGGCAGCGGCAGCCCGACCGCGACGGCGACGGCGACGGCGACGGCGACGGCGACGGCGACGGCGGCGCCGACGAAGACAACAACGACGGCGACAACAGCGACGGCGACGACGACGGCGACGCCCCCGCCCGCCCCTCCCCCGAGGAGGGGCGCACGCTGGACGCCCACGGCGAGCTGCACCTCGCCAAGGCCTGGGGGGCACAGCGCCAACCGCGCGCGGGCACCAGGCCCAGCAGCGCTTGCGGTCGCTCGCGTCTCACGGTGGGCAGCCTTCGCTTAGCGTTAAGTCGGGCCTGTCCTTCTACAGGAGGGATATTCAACAGTGGTCCAGAAATAGTCTGGGGACGATGGTTTGACCATTTTGTTCAATCGGGGCATGTTCTACCTAACAACGAAGACTGATAGGTTACTGGTGGGCTCAAAAGAGAGCATCTTGACTCCCCAGGGGGGTCTGGGCGGATGCCGGGGAGAATCCGGGGACTCCCCAGGACTCCCCAGGGGGGTTTGGGCGGGTGCCGGGGAGGATCCGGGGACTCCCCAGAACACCATTCCCACAGTTTGAATGCCCCGAGCCAACTGTAGGCCACTTCGTGTTCTTCGTGTTCCCAGAACACCATTTCCAGGCCACATTTTGAATGCCCGGAGCCAACTGTAGGCCACTTCGTGTTCTTCGTCTTCTCAGAACACCATTCCGAGGCCACATTTTGAATGCCCGGAGCCATCTGTAGGCCACTTCGTGTTCTTCGTGCTCCCAGAACAGCATTCCCAGGCCACATCTTGAATGCCCGGAGCCAACTGTAGGCCACTTCGTGTTCTTCGTGCTCCCAGAACACTATTCCTGTACCATATTTTGATTGCCCGGAGCCAGCTGTGGGCCACTTCGTGAGCTTCGTGCTCCCAGAACACAAGTTCTGTGAAATATTTTGAATGCCCGAGCTGAGGCAGGCTGAGGCCGAGGCAGGCTGAGGCTGAGGCTGAGGCACGCCGAGGCAGGCTGAGGCTGAGGCTGAGGCAGGCTGAGGCTGAGGCAGGCTGAGGCTGAGGCCGAGGCTGAGGCTGAGGGCTGAGGCTGAGGAGGCAGGCCGAAGCTGAGACAAGGTGAGGCTGAATGGGGGGGGGGGAAGGGGGGGGGGAGGAGGAGGGGAGGCTGAGGCAGGCTGAGGCCGAGGCAGGCTGAGGCCGAGGCAGGCTGAGGCTGAGGCTGAGGCAAGCCGAGGCAGGCTGAGGCTGAGGCTGAGGCTGAGGCTGAGGCAGGCTGAGGCTGAGGCAGGCTGAGGCTGAGGCAGGCTGAGGCTGAGGCTGAGGCTGATGCAGACTGAGGCTGACGCTGAGGCTGAGGCTGGGGCAGGCTGAGGCTGAGGCTGAGGCCGAGGCAGGCTGAGGCTGAGGCTGAGGCAAGCCGAGGCAGGCTGAGGCTGAGGCTGAAGCTGAGGCAGGCTGAGGCTGAGGATGGGCCGAGGCAGGCCGAAGCTGAGACAAGGTGAGGCTGAATGGGGGGGGGAAGGGGGGGGGGGAGGAGGGGAGGCTGAGGCAGGCTGAGGCCGAGGCAGGCTGAGGAGGCAGGCTGAGGCTGAGGCTGAGGCAAGCCGAGGCAGGCTGAGGCTGAGGCTGAGGCTGAGGCTGAGGCTGAGGCAGGCTGAGGCTGAGGCAGGCTGAGGCTGAGGCAGGCTGAGGCTGAGGCTGAGGCTGAGGCAGGCTGAGGCCAAGGCAGGCTGAGGCTGAGGCTGAGGCAGGCTGAGGCTGAGGCCGAGGCAGGCTGAGGCTGAGGCTGGGGCAAGCCGAGGCAGGCTGAGGCTGAGGCTGAAACTGAGGCAGGCTGAGGCATCCAAAGGAATCCATAGGAATCCTTAGGAATCCGTAGGCATCCTTAGGAATCCGTAGGCATCCTTAGGAATCCGTAGGCATAGTTAAGCATCCTCAGGAATCTTTAGGAGTCCTTAGGATTCCCTAGGAATCCTTAGGAATCTCTAGGAATCCCTAGGAATCAGGATTCCTAAGGATTCGTAAGGTTTCCTAAGGATTCCTATGGATTCCTATGGATGCCTAAGGATGCCTTAGGAATCCCTAGGAATCCTTAGGATTCCATTGGATCCTAAGGCCGTTGCCACTGCGACTGTCATTGCGAATGCGACTGCGACTGCGAGAACAGCAGAATTCTACAACTGGATTCTCACCTGAATCTTAAGGGGAATGCTTCCAGATATGCTTATACACATCGCTGTTCGGTTGCTTTGCCGGGATAATTTTTATCGGAGATGAGGGGGTGAGATCGAAGTGGAACGGAGAGCCCCCCTACCGGGAAATCGGTTTCGGTTTCGTGTTCGTGCGTGCCGTGCGTGCGGGCGAGGCGAAGCTGCGTGGGCGGGCGAGAAGAAAGTCTCCTGGGGCTGAGGCGCGGCCGGACCAAAAGTCTCCCTTCCGGCGTCCGGTGGCGCGCAGTGTCCCGCCGGTGTCCCGCTGTGGCTGAGGCGCGGCCGGACCAAAACTCTCCCTTTCGGCGTCCGGTGGCGCGCGGTGTCCCGCCGGTGCCCCGCAGGTGTCCCGTCGGTGTCCCGATGATGATGATGATGATGATGATGATGATGATGATGATGATGATGATGATGATGATGATGATGTTGATGTTGATGATGATGGTGATGTGATGAGGATGGTGTCCCGATGATGATGATGATGATGATGATGATGATGATGATGATGATGATGATGATGATGATGATGATTTTGATGATGATGTTGACGATGTTGATGATGACGATGATGATGGTGATGGTGATGATGATGGTGCCCCGATGGTGATGACGCTGATGATGATGATGTTGCTGATGATGTTGGTGCCCCAATGATGATGATGTTGATGATGATCCTGATGATGTTGATGATGTTGACATGATGATGAGATGATGATGATGAAGATGATGATGATGATGATGATGATGATGATGGTGGCCCGATGATGATGAGTTTGATGATGATGCTGTTGATGATGATGGTGATGATGATGATGGTGTCCTGGTCATGATGATGATGATGCTGATGATGAAGATGATGGTGTCCATGATGATGATGTTGCTGATGAGGATGATGATGAGGTGATGATGATGATTTTGATGATGGTGGCCCGATGATGGAAATGATGCTGATGTTGAGGATGATGGTGTCCTGATGATGATGATGATGTCGCTGGTGAGAATGATGATGGTGTCGCGATGATGATGATGGTGATGATGATGATGATGTTGCTGATGATGATGGTGTCCCGATGGTGATGATGATGTTGATGATCTTGTTCATGATGATGATGAAATGATGATGCTGATGATGGTGGTGTTCCGATGATGATGATGGTGTTCCGATGATGCTGGTGATGTTGATGATGGTGGTGATGATGGTGTCCCGATGATGATGATGATGATGATGATGATGATGATGAGGGTGAGGGTGATGATGATGATGATGATTATGATGATGATGATGATGATGTTGATGATTATTTTGATGATGTTGGTGAGATGGTGATGACGCTGATGATGATGATTATGATGATGATGATGATGATGGTGGCCCGATGATGAGGATGATGATGTCAATGACGTTGGTGACGATGATGTTGATGATGACGTTGATTGTGAGATCGATTGTGATATCGATAGTGAGATTGAACGTGAGACCCAATGTGAGATCGATTGTGAGATCGATAGTGAGATCGATAGTGAGATCGATTGTGAGATCCATAGTCAGATCGATTGTGAGATCAATCGAATGACATAGATCGAGTGAGATCGATTGTGAGATCGATCGAGTGAGATCGATCGAGCGAGACCGATCGTGAGATCGATAGTGAGATCGATAGTGCGACCGATCGAGTGAGACGTTGGTTCCTCCCCCCCCCGAACCTCCTTATCACCCGAAGAGTGGTCGTATAGGTATGATTGGGGTATTTGGCGCATTTTCCATGTTTCGTCCAACATGCGCCTGTAGGGGGGCAGGCCCGACCTAAACCTAGCAACGCTTGCAGTCGGCTGCAGCTTCCGGCGGGCAACCTCTGCCGAGCGTGTCGTGCCACCGGCTCTGGCCCACCGCGCTTCGGCACGAGGCGCCGTCCACGTCCCAGCCTTTCCAGCGTCAGCGTCCAGAGCCCTTCCCGGCCTCCCGCCCCGCGGAGCAGAGAGACGCGCCATCCGCTTGCAAGGCGTAGCGTGTCCACAGTGCCTCCGCCGCGGCACGCTAAGCAGAAGCTCTCGACCGTAAATATGTTCGGCTCCTTATCCTCCTCCTCCTCCGCCTCCTCCTCCTCCGCTTTCCCCTGTTGCTCCTTCTCCCCCCTCCTCCTCTCTGTTCGGGCGGAGCGCACGACGTTCAAAACGAATTGTCGGGAACGGGTTGGAAAGGAGTGCTCGCAGGCGGCGTTCGGGTCAGTCGCAGGGTATCTACGAATTCGTGAAATTCAGCCCAGGGTCTAGGTCTCTAGCGAAAGCCAGATCGGAACCACGACCAGATCGGAACCAGACAATGCGCGCCACAGAAAAAACTTGAAACAGTCTCCGCAGCGCTCGGCAACGAATTGGCATACAAGTCCTGGGACTGATGCGTAGTCCGTCGGGGCCCCTGGCTGGAGTCGAGGAGCACTGCAGCAATGGCTACGCTTCGGATTGTGATTGTCGCTCTCTTCCTCCCGCCGGCTGCTCGCACACGGACGAGAGCAGGGGACGCCACCCACAGTCAGCTGTCTTGCGAGTAGCAGCGTGCCCTTGCCTGCCGGAGGTGGAGGGCCCCAGTGGCACCCAGAGCCTCCTGATGGAGGACCGCCCGAACCCCCTGACGTTGCAGTGGAAGACGGCCGAGCACGGCCGCGAGAGGCCGCACGGTCGGGGACCTCTCCAAACGCACGCCAACCGTCCCTTTAGGAGCAGGGAGGAGGGCGGGGGAAGAGAGAGGGAGAGAGGAAGAAAGCAAAAGAACGAGACAGAGAGAGAGAGAGAGAGAAATGAGAGAGAGAGTGAGTGGAAGAGAGAAAGAGAGAGAGCCTCACAAGGGAACGCGTGCAATCATCCCAACCCCTCTTCAGGATGGCGGGGGTGGGATGCTCAAGTGCGCGATCGCAGGAAATGTGTAATTAGCATTGTTGAGGAATCCCGCAGGGCTTTCGAGGAATCCTCCGAAATCCATCGGACTTCCTGAAAATTCCTGAATACGTTGGGCTCCTCGGGGAATTCTCCAGATCCCCCAGGGATGCGTTCATCAGACCCATAGTTCCGCAGACCCTGAGAAGACAACATATCTCGGGCGCAAGAAGCGGAAGGGCGACGGGGGGAAGGGACTGGCGGCTTTAATGAAAGTATTGGGCTTCTCGGCTCATCCAAGCAATGCGTCTGGGTCACGCAAAGGCCTTGGGAACTCTTTGTGTCTCTTGTGTGGCTCTTTGCAGGGCTCCATGGGCCTGCGTAGTCCACTTGGGGCATGCTTCAGGAGGAATGGGGCCTCTCGGGGCCTGCGTCTCGGGGCGTCTTGGGGCCTGCCTTAGGAGGCAAAAGGGGAGTGGGCAGGGAGGAACTGGTCACACAAAAAGTGCACACGTCGCGAAATCCATTCAAAAGATTGGGTCGAGAGGTCTGGGTCAATTGATAAAACAAGTCGGAGCTTCAGGCGCCCACCCAATCCTCCCCTTCCCCCCCCCTGCGCCCAGTGGGGGACTCGGGCTCCAGAGGGCGTCGAGAGAGCTGTGAGGAATACAGTTTCTCCCTGACGACATGTACCGTCTGTTCAACGATGGTGCCGAGGGATCGGCACCAGGGGGGGGTTCTCAAGGGCATCCGCCCTCTGGGTAAGAGTGGGCAGGGCGGAACTGGCGAAGGAGGAGAAGAGGGAGGGGCCTGGGGCGGCGGCAGGGCTCTCCTTCGGGCCGCTCGCCCCCCAGGCCGCACCTGCACTACCGCTTCTTCTCGGCCGAGTTCCTGCAGCCGAGCGACCCGAGCGGCGTCTGCGTCACCGTCACGCTCCAGATGGCTTCCGCGACCGTGTCCTTGCCGCTGGCGGTGCACGTGCCGCGGGAGTGCTTCCAGCGCGGCGCCGGCGCCGGCACCGAGGCCTTCGCCCTGGGCAGGACGGGGGCCCGTGCGGAGATCTACCTGCCGGACGCACAGCGGCTCGTGGACTGGTCGGCGTGGGAGGTCACCCCGGCAGTGCCGACGGCCTTCCCGGCCTGCCCCGGCCCGGGGAGCGCGGGCGGCGGCTGGCTGGTGGACGTGCTGGCGCTGCGGCTGCGGCTGGGGACCGAGCGGACGGTGGCCCTGCCGCTCGGGCCCGACCTCGTGGTCCTGCGCTTCTGCGCCTCGCGGCTGAGCCTGCTGCCGCGGCCGGTGCTGGGGGACGGCGGCGCCCAGGAGGCCTCGGCGGCGCCAGCCCAGGACCCTCGCAGCGGCGAGGTGGCCGGGATCGTGGTCCACTCCCTCGCGGTCCACAGCCCCGCGGTCTGCCAGTGCCTGCTGAGCGGCGGGGCGGGCCCCAGCGTCCTGTTTGCGGAGCTCCCGCACCAGGCCTCGCGCTGCTTCGTCCCCGCCGAGCCAGACGGCCGCGGGCGCGTGTGCATCCACGCGCTCCTGCCAGAGTGGGGCCTGTCGGCTTCGGCGGAGGCTCAGCTCGGCGACGGGGCTCTGGAGCTCCACTGGGTCTTCGCGACGCAGCAGGGCGACGTGCACGCCGCGGGGCGGGCGACGTGCGCGCAGTGGCCAGTCCCAGTCGGAGGGCACCCGACCGTGCCGGTCACGGCGCACGTGCTGCGGCTCCGCATCCCCGAGGAGCTCGTGCCCCAGCTGGCCCCCGTGGAAGTGCGACTGGGGCGCGGGCCAGGCCGCTCCTTCGTGTGGGCTGGTTCCGAGGACGGGGGCGACGAGGAGATCTTGCCCTACAGCGCGTTCGAAGAAGACCCGTGCGCGGTGAGCGTGCGATGTGGGAAGCAGGCCAGGGCCCAGATGCAGTTCTCCTTGTTGGACTTGCTGGCGGCGCAGCTGCTCACGGGGGGCAGGGGCTTGCTCTCCTTGCCCGTCCTCGTGGAGGCGGACGTGCAGCGCGATGGCACCAGATTCGCTGCCTTCCTCTTCCTGCCTGTGCGGCTCCAGTGCTCAGCCACGGCAGTCGCGCACGGCCCCACGGGCCCCGTGGCGTCGGCCGGCGGGCTGCTGCTCCTCCAGGGTGTCGCTGTCTCCGCTTCCCTCGACGCCACAGCTCACCGGGCTGGGTGCCCCGCGCTGGAGAACCCCGAGCGGCACGCTTGGCAGCCCGCTCCAAGGGTCTCCATGCGCGCAGGGGCCCAGCACTCCAGTGGGCTTGCACTGCCGCGAACGCTGTGCTGCGCCGCTGCGTCGTGGGGGCCCGACGGCAGGGCTCAGCGCTGCATAGATCTCACCCCGCACGTCCTGGCGGTGCTGCTTCCAGGGGCCCCGGGGGAGGCCGACCTGCGCGTCGACCTCCAGCTGCAGTGTCCACACTGCGGGGCGAATGTCGAGCTGCAGGCTTCGCCGAAGGACTCGCTGGAGTTGGCTCAGCTGCCCGCGTGGCGGAGCTTCACGGTACGAATGCAGGTCCACAGCCGGGGGCCCCAAGTCCTCCGCGGGGGCGCGCTAGCCTTCGCCAGAATGGCGGTCTGCCCGTCGCGACTGGCTCGCTCCCCGCAGGGCCTCTTGTCGCTCTCCCTCGAGACGCCCCGGGGTGAGGATGAGGCCGGCCTCCCAGAGCTCCTGGACTGGTGCGGGCGCCTGGGCGGCCACGGCGCACAGGGCAGGAGCGAGGGCGACGCCGCCCTGTCCGTGCGCCTCTCGGTCACGGGCCCCACCCCGGCCAGCCTGAGCTTGGACGGAATGTCGGTCATCGCGGCGCCGGCGCAGCTGGTGGTGGAGACGGGGGCCGAGCACGCGCTGGCGTACCTCACCCTGGAGGCGCAGCGCCTGTCCGGCCTGCGCGTGCTGCTCGCAAGGGTCCCCCTGGCAGCGCTGGGGCCGCTGGAGGACGGCCGGCCTGTGCGCTACCCGCTACTCTTCACGCCGAACCTCCGCCCCGTGCTGGTCGCCACTTACGAGCCGCGCCGTGGCTTCCCGACCAGTGATGCGGCGGAGGCAGCGCCGGCGCCCGCGGCGGAGCCGGGCGGACCCGCAGAGGCCGTGCCGTCGCCGCGCGCGCGGTTGGCCGCGGAGATCCGCTCAGTGATGCGGCTGTCGCCCCCAGAGGTTCAGGCAGCGCCCGCGAGATCGCCGAGCCTGCCGGGCGCGCGGCCCCGCGCGCCAGGCGGCCGCGGCTCCCCTGGAGCACCGCGGAGGCCGAGGTCCGTGGGAGGTTCGCCTGCCGCGGCACCGGCCGGTCGCGGCCGTGGCGGCACAGCCGCCGCCACTGCAGCCGGGCGTCGCCTGCAGGCGCATCCGTTCTTGGATCGGGGCAGGCACTTGTGGCTGGCGCCCACCAGCAACGACCAGCCAAAGAAGAACGACGTGATGTGGTGCCAAGAGATGGGCCGGCGAAGGCCGGAGCCAACGCCGAAGTCGGCTGCCAGGTTGGGCGCGGAGGGCCTCCGGGGCGCGCCGGCCGGGTGGAAGGAGAGAGACAACCAGGCGGAGGGGCCGAGCTACCGGGCAGCCTTCTTGGCCAAGCGCAGGCAGGACGTGGAGTTATGCCGCGACCAGCTGCGGCACGCGAAGGTCGGGTGCCGCAGGGCTGAGGAGAGGCTCGCGGGCCTGAGGCAGCAGCTGGCCTCGGCGGAGAGGGAGCTGGGGCGGCGGGCGCAATGTGAGGACCTCGCAGCGCTGGCGGCCTGGGGCGCGAGGGCCGACGCGGCCGCCGCCGCCGCGGCTGGCGAGCGGCAGCAGGAGGACGCGGGGCCGCCGCAGGCGTGCGCGCTGTGTGGCCAGACGGGGCTCGCCCGGGCGCTGCGCTTCTGCGCGGGCTGCCTCCCAGCCGCGCGGGACGAGGCGGCCGCACTGCAGGCCGAGGCTGGCGCCCTGCTCGTGCGCAGGGCCGAGCTGCGCGGGGAGCTGCTGCGGCAGCGCAAGCTCGCCGCTTCGCTGGAAGAGGCCGAGGGCGAGCTGGCCTCCCGCGCGGCGTCGGTCGAGGAGGGTGGGCAAGGGCAGCAGGAGGCGGTGCGGCGCGAGCTCACGGATCTGCTGGTGCAGTTGCGGACGTTGGGGCGCGAGAAGGAGCTGCAAGGGCAATTGGAGTCGGAGCAGCGAGGCCACTTCCAGGGGCGCCAGGAGGAGGCCGACGGCCTGCTGACGGCCGCGACCAAAAGGAGAGACCAGCTGCTCAGGCGCAACAGGGAGCTGAAGGCGAGCATGCAGGAGATCGAGTTCGACATAGCGGTTCTGCTGGCGGATCACGAGGCTCCTGGCTGAGGGCCGCAGGCTTCACCAGAGACCCACAAGCAGGAGCAGATGCTCTCGGCGCAGAGCAGGCACGGCACGTTCGCAGGGCGGATCTTCGACGCGATCTTCGAGCTGTAGCGGCAGACCGCACTGTTTTGAGCCTGATGTCCAGCGAGTAGGCGGAGGCGGCCCTGGAGCCGCACGCGAAGCGCGGCACGTCATCGCCCGCTCGCCGTGCGAGCAGTGCGCGTGCGAGCCAGGGGAAAAAGGGTGGTCTCGCGAAGCGGCGCGCGTGCTCGTTATGCCTCGTCCCAGCTGCCGTGCTGTTGTGCCCCATGGCAGGTGACGATTACAGTCGTCCCGGCCAGCGATGACGTCAACGTCCGCGAGGTGTGTGCAAGCTTGGTCGGCGCGCTCAGCAGGCGCCGTGCTCTTTCTTGTTGTGGGCCGAAGCACGCACCACAGGAGGTGTGAAGGGGGGATGCCTGCTCCTGCTTCTGTCAGAAGGAAGTCACGCGAGAAGCCCAGAGTGCTGGCCACACCCAGCGAGAGCTCGCAGAAGCATCCCCGAGCGGAGGGCCCGCGGCCTCGAGCACTAACACTCGAACGCTAATGCCACGGCCGTTAAAATCCTCTGGCACTTGAAAACCAAGGAGCACCAAGGGCACGAGGGTACTCCAGCTCGTGCCAGAGGCTCGGGCAGTGGTTTCGACGAGACCGCTAGAATGGAAGTTCCTGATCGTTTCCGAACATCTTGGACCACTTTCACAGCCTCGTGGCATTCGCTCACAGGCAGGCATCGCAGATCGCTTTCCTAGCGAAGTGCCACTCCGACGGCACTCTTCGGGTGTGTTGCTGGGGGGTATGTCACAGCGAATGTTCAGTATGATCGTGAACACGCCCAGGTTCAAGGCGACCGCACACCATCGCCGACCCCCCCCCCTCGCCTCCTCCCTCGCTCAGCGCAGGGCATGGCCCTCTTGTGTACATGCTGCGCGCCGCGGGGCCGCGGAGCAAGCCCGCAGAGGGTCGCCGAACTCCACGAGGGGGCACGATCCGCGTGGGTGGGGGGTCGGATTGAGCGGAGGCCCCCCCCACGCAGGCGCACACTGAGGCAGCAGGTGGAGCTCCACATGGGGCATGGCCGCAGGCGGAGCTCCTTGTGGGCCACACGGTCGGCGCAGGGGCCGTGCCGGAAGTGGGCGGGGGAGTGCATGCGACCTTGGTCGGTCGAGGGAGAGCCCACCGTGGGGCGCGATCCGCGTGAGGAGTTGGACAACGAGGGTTGGAGGGAGGGGGGAGTCGCGCGCGAACTCGGCCGCTGGGGCCGTCGGTGGAGTTCCATGTGGGGCACGATCCACATGAGGGGCGTGCAGTAATGGGCAGGGGGGCGCAAGCGAACGTCGCCTGTGCGCCACGATCCGTGTAAGGGGTGGGCCGAAGTGGACGGGGGGACGCATGCGAACTTGGCCACTGAGGCCATAGGCGCAGCTCCTTGTGGGCCGCGATCGGCGTGAGGGGTGTGCCGAAACGGGCGGGGCAGGAGGAGGAGGACGACGAGGGAGATCAGCAGGGGCGAGGAGGTCAGGAAGAAAGGAGGCTCGCGGCGTCGCAAAGAGAAAGCGATGGCTCAACAACACTGGAGGTTCTTGGGTGGGGGGAAACGACAGATCAATCGCAGAGCGGTGGACTAGACGCGAAGAAACAGCCAACACCAGATCTGATTGCTTCAACATACTAGAACAACGCAATAAGGACAAGCAACATGCACGTAACGGTTAACAACCAGCACAGCCAGCAACAAAGCGAAGGTCGCGGCATCTCGACACGTTGGTACCAATACGAAAGTGCGTTCGTTCTGAACATGATAGCACTAGGACCACAGTCGAGGGCCGAGCATTCGCGAAAGCAACCACCAACAGCATAGTCGATAGCGAAACCACAGTAACAAGATCGCGTCACTGTAACCCTACGGCACTACGGTCCAACTGCCTAGTGAAACTTGGACGCCACGACACCGCGATTTTACAGCATTTCGACAGCACCCCAAGAACATTGTCGATGTGACGACGCCAGAACCAGAACAAGACTTCACGTCATCACTGCATTTCGGCGCCACATCACCAGAAAATTATGATTGTACGACATTGCGACGCCGCGGCACACAGAAATTTCGGCA